GCTCGGCGGGCGAGACGCGGAGGCTGAGGCGGAGGCGCGGCCAGAGCGCCGGGTAGAAGAGGCACTCCCGCCAGTGCGAGCAGGCGGCCGAGGCCCGCAGCCGGTCGGGGGCCGCCAGGAAGGAGAAAATGTGGACCACCAGCTCGCTGGGCAGGGAGCCGGCGCCCACCGCCTCCCTGCACACCGACATCCCTGGCGCCGGCCCCAGCCCCGCGGCGGCGGCCCCGGGCGGCGGCCCCGGCCTGGCCTGCGGCTCCTGCGACACAAACAACAACATCAATGACACGGCGCAGGGGGGCGGGCGCCGGCCGGGACGCGCCTGCTGCCGGGACGCACCACCCGCGCCGCCGCCGGCGGGGGAGGCGAAGGGGCGGAGCGGCCGCTACCACTGGCCGGCACTGCAGGGAGAGGTGGGCCGGACCACTCAGACCTGAGGGCGATGTGTGAAGGAAGACACCGCCGGCGCCGCGCTCTGTTTCTGCGGGGCGGCCAGAGCCGCCGCGGCGGAGGGAGGAGGGTTCCCCCGCAGGGAAAATGGAACGTGCCGGCGGTGGGCTGGGAGGCGGAGCCGGCGCGCCCGCCCCGCGGGGGACGTTGGCCGTTCCCCCCCGCCCCCCCCCCCCGTGCCGGCGGCGCGGCCCCCCCGCTCCCCGCCCCTCCGGCGGCTCCCAACGCAGTGCGGCGGAGGCTCTGCCCGGGGCGCGGCCCGGGACCACATTCCCTGCGGGCTCCACAGGGGGAGCGGCCGCCGCTGCCGGGGGGCAGACGCAGGACGGCCCCCGGTGTTTAGGAAAACTTGGAAAGGGTGTCTGGTGATGTCTGGTGGCGGCGGCGCCGAGGCCCGTACGGGACCGCACGTACGCCTCTGAGCCATCAAAATTACCTCAGCAGCATTCCTGCTGCTGCCGCGGGAAACGCGCTGACTACGCAGGAAAGGTGGAGCACGGCAGAGTCCGACATGTGACAGAACCGGGTGCGAGCCTGGGGCGATGCAGGAGAAAATGCTCCAAATCTTATCACTCTTCAGTTTCTTAAATCTCACACGCTTTTATAAAACCCGTGCCAACATCCGCTGTAGGTGTGTAAGGGTGACTTCTGTGCATACAGAGTTTTGAAAGAATTTAGGTCTGTTACGTGCTGATGCTGTAAAGGCTGAACAACAAAGTGCTGATAATTGCATACATTTTTATAATTGAAAAACAACTTATCGAAATAAAATTGAGTACTGCCAGTATCTTGGAATAATGGACACAGTTTATTTAACAACTTTATATCTCAGTTTTCAGAAATGTACGCACAAAATAATTAAAGATGTGCTAATAGAAATGAAGTCTAGACTCCCCTCCATACGGAGTAGGCACGCATTATAACCAGATTCATTAGCAACCAAATCTAAACCAGCTCTCTCCCTTTACTCCATGACTACCCGTTTCTGCTGTCTCACAACAGGGGTGAAAAACAGCATCAGTTCTCTTTTCTCGAATCTGGTCCTGGGGGAAATATGTCTTCCATTTCCCCCTGATTGGAGAGAAGGAGCCTGTAGAGGCAGATGTTGCTATGAAAGTAAAACTACAGAAAATTCCCAGGGCCAGTTCTCTCATCAGGGACCAGTGCTTCTTCACTCACCTGCACAAGTGACTTGAACCAGCATAAACAACTCGGGTAATTGCTGTGCTACTCCCACTGTGGATTCCACTAAAATTCCCCAGGCAGTCAAGATGCAAGTTCTGCAGCAGCCAAACTCATCTGGCCTAGAAGGATGCAAATGAAAGGAACTTATGCGCCTACATGTCTCCATATTTTAATATCTACTCAACGACTCCCCATTGTTGAGCTGGTGATGATTCAAAGGACTTCCAAGATTACTGAGCATCTTAATGTAAAACAGCATCAAGCTTTATGACTCAGTTCCTTTGGATTACCAAAGCAGCATCAAGAAAAGTTGGTTTATGAAGTTAGTAGTTCTGCATTTGTTGTTAACTTTGTTGGAGTGTATTGGATCTGTAATAAAATGGCATGCTGAGTTAGGGAAACTTTCCTGTCTGACCATCCAGGACCTACTCTGGCAGTCACACTCTCACCCACCTAAGCTGGGACTGAAATCCCTTCCCAGTGGGCAGCCCCAGTGAGCCTGACTCCCCACACACCCCCATACTCACACAGTCAGACAAGGTTTCCTTACCATCTCAAAGCCAGGTTTCCCACAGCAGAGTCTCACTGGTCCCAATCCTTAAAATAATTCAATCTTGATGAAATAACTAAACAGCTTGAGCTGGGATCCTGAACAAAGGAAACCCTAGGTTTTTTACCCTCACAGTCTAAGCAGGGAACATTTGGGGGCCCTTGGCTCCTGCTGTGTCTCTGAGTGTCTGGTCACCTGGTTGGGCCACAGGTCCCTGAGCTTGTCAAAGGGTTGGCAGTTCACAGCCTCTTACCTCCAACTCCAGACATCCAGAGAACTCAATCTGCAGCTTACACTGCAGTGCAAACTAAGCTACCTGCACTGAATATATTCCTCAATATATTTCCACAGTACAGTGAAATGGTCTTTTACTGTTACTGCTGCATAGCCATTTAATGAGCTCCAGCTTTTTGGGATTGTGTTAAAAAATTCAGTCTCAGAAGCTATTACTTTCATTTTTGTTAGCTTAAATAAATGAATCTGTCTAAAGCTTCAGGCCACCACAACTGTGGCTGAGTGGTCCAATATGATAAATGCCAGACTTTATAGATTCCCTGATAGAATCCATCTGCAGGGCCAGTATGGCACTGAGGCAGCCCAGTCTCTGAGGCTGTTGATTCTGGGTGTTGAATCACTTTTCCCTGCCTTGTACAACAGAAATATGCTTCAGCTTGACTGAAAATTGATTTCACAGTGCAGGCTTTTGTTAATATTAATGCAATGCCTACAAGCTGATGGGATAAGTACCTCAGAAAAAGACATGCATCTAATTTGCTTGCAGACTTTATGGAGTGACCAGGTGGTTCCAGCAGGTAGCTGGTCAATGGTCTTTTTGCTGAAGCACTAGGCTGTCAGTATGATTCCTCCATTAAGCCACTCACTGCACATTTAAAGCTGAGGGAGATAACTGTGAATCTTTATGCTGCAAATGAAATTTTCAAATGTTCTGAAAGGCCGTGAAGCCATATTGCACATCTTGGAGGGACTGGAAAAAAGAAATCATTCCAAAGTATTTCAAGGCAAGAGATGACAGACATTTACCAAGAAGTGACCACTGATTTTTTTCACAGTCCATTGTGGATCAGAAGAGGCAGTGTTCTGAAGGAGCCTCAGGAAACCTGATTTTGCTAGCCTTGACAGCTGCTGTTGGGTTACTTCCATAGCATGAGGGTTTTCACTGCCTATCAGCACCAGGAGTGTGCCACGAGCAGCTGTGCAGTCAGGAATCACACATGGCTCCAAAGTTATGGGTTAGCCATAACCAAGTTAAAGTTTACAGGGCCTGAAGGTCACTGATTCAGCTGCTAATGTCAGGACCAGAGGCTGCCAGCTTCTTCAGGTGCTCCGTCCTGGTCATGTACAGATAACAAGCTAAAACCAAAGTGCAAGTTTTTTTAAAATTACTCAGTCCTTTATTGTTTTTTTTTTTAAGTACATTGCAAAGACATGTATGTTTCTGGAATTAGTAACTTGGGTATATTTTTTTTTGTGAGCTACAGTGAACTCCAGGAGTTTTCCATCATTAGAAAGAAGAGACAGAGCAGCAAGTCAGAGCAAAGCCTAAACAGAAACAAAGTATTAGTAGGAAACAGGTGTTTCCACGTGTGCTGTAACAACCTGGAATAATGTGTCTTCCGTATTGATTTATGTGGAAAAAAGGAGCTCAGCAGATTGAAGGTTTCCATAAGGTTCCGGCATAATGTTCACCGGTACGGTAGAAATCCATATAAAAAAGGTTTACTCGAAGAGGAACCAGGCTGCAGCTGAAGACTGCAGTCCTGGTAACGATCCCAAGGGAACGGGGGGATCCCAGGCACCGAGCTGTTCTTGTCTCTTTTCGGGGCGATGGGGGAGCAGCCGGCGGCAGCGTCGCCCCGCCCCGCGCTCGCCCCGAGCCCGCGCGGTGTTTCCGGCCGGGGCTCGTCACGTCCGGGCGGCGGAGATGCCGGTAAGGCGGGTGCTGGGGGTGGTCCGGCCGCTCCTGCGGGACTTGCCGACCCCCGAGGGGTGCGGGAGCCCAGCGAGCCGCGGGGCGCGGGGGGACGCCCCGGCCCTCCTGTCCTTCCTGTCCCCGCTGCCGGGGCCGCCCCTCACGGCTGCGGCCGGACCCCCGCCCTGGGGCGGGTGGCACCTGCCCCGCCGGGCCTCGGCGCTCCGCCCTGCCCCCGTTCCTCCCCGGGCCTCCGCAGGGCTCCTCCCGGCCGGGGCGTGGGCAGCCGGGCCAGGCAGCGCTGGCTGTGGTGCCCGTGGGTCGCTCGGGGCCCGCCCTGCCGGGCACGGGCTGGCAGGGGCAGCGGGCGGCCGCGGGGGTAGCGCCGGGCCCGCTGCGAGCGTAGGGCTGAGTTACTCTGCGCTCGCTCGCTCTGTGCGGTGTCTTGCCCCTCCACGGCAAGTGAAGCTCCGTGCTGCAGTGCTGCTGTCAGGAGTGTGAGAGGGAGGCTTTTAGGTTCTCTTTTTAGCTGATCCAGTATTCTCGTTACTTTTTAACATGGTCGATAGACTGGTAGTTGTGTTGGAAAGGGGAAAAAACTGTATGTAGTTCACATTTTTCTCCCATCAGCAGTGTGTGAGTGTATTCCCGGCAGGCAATAAAAGCTTGTTCTCATGTTCCTCTTTTAGCACAAGCATCATATGTGTATTTGTGAAATAAGTTCTATTTATCTGGGCTCACCAAGAAATTAAATTTCTGATTCTGTGAAATATCTCGACTGACAGGAAGAACTGATGTTTCCTGCTAACAGGTTGTTTGTATATGGCTCCCTTTTATCAATAATTTGGATAATTCCATTGTGTTGTGGACTGGGAATTCAGCTTCCTCATATCTTGCATACTTTATGTGATTTGCAGTTGATCCCATAAGTTTCCAGAACAAACAAGGCAATTATCCATTAAAAATTAGTGATTGCAAAGAAAATGCGGAAAATAACATCTTAACACCGTGAAATTAATTTTTAAAGGCTATTTTCTTGATTCAGTGAAAATAGAAATCCAGGAACCTCAGTTAATGAATTTTACCAATACCTCAAAGTATATTTTACAGTTGCATCAACACATGTTCACTTCTTTTTGCTTTGCTCTTGTTTTTCAGTTCCTCTTTCTTTATGTTTCCTTTTTTGTTGTTTTAGGTTAAATTAATTATTTCCGCAGCAGAGCTTCTTGCAGAAGGACCACCACACTGGTTTGCACTTAGGAAAATATGAAAATAAGCAGGGAGTGTTGTTCTCTCTGAACTAAAAAAAAAAATTAAAAAAAAATATCTGTGCCTTGCTGAGAACAGCTGCAGGAGTTGGACACTTGAATCAATGTTATCGGATGAGTTAGAATCCAAACCTGAGGTGAGCAATTATGAACTGAGTTTGGTTCCCAGGAATGTTTGTGGGCAACACTTAGAGTCAATGAGTTTACTCAGATTGCTGCTTACATACTAATTTTCCAAGTGTTTTCAGTGACATCTTCTAATGCTTCCATGCTTTGATTTAAATGGTAAAAAATTAGGAAATATTGCAAGTTTTTTTCACCTCCTTTCAAGTATCAGCCAATATTCTTGCCTGTTCTCAGGTTACATTTTTTTCCACTATTACAGCATTCTTTTGTTATGAGAATAAAATAAATTAACAAATTGACTATTTCTTTCCCTCAAACCAAATTGGCTCTACTTGGTTTTGGACAATCTGAATTATTCTATCAGCATCAGCCAGTCCTGTTCTTCAGAGTACTCCTGTTGCCATTCAGCAGTTGGCAGAAGTGGTAGGCAGCAGCACACGGGGGATCCCGGCTGCTCGGTGTGAGGCTGCTGGACTGTTCCAGGTTCAGCTGGGCATGAATTGCAGGGACATTTGTGCATAAACAGCTGGCCACAAACAGGTAAAGCATGAACATACAGATTATCACATGTGCAGGGAAAGCATGAACAGCCATGGTTTGCTGGTGGGTTATAGCTGCACCCTCATCACTCGACTCTTGCGCATACTCACATTCACATCTCTGCCAGGCCTATAGTCCTTCTGCCCAGAGCCAGGGCTTTTAAGCCAGTTTCTGGCTGGAATAGTTTTTGGGTTTTTTTCCAGACTGTGGGAGCCTCCTACTTGCATTAGTCAACTAGAAGCTCACTAGCAGTGGACTCACTTGTGGGTAGAATATTTAGGAATGTCTTTGGTAATTACATAGGAGGGGCTGCAGTGATCAGGCACAGCAAACATATGTTTGGAGTGTCTTCTCTCCCCCCTACCCCTGGTTCTTAATTTATCTACCTTGATTCCTCCTTTGATCCTCCCCCTAAACAAAGCATAATAAGCTTAATACATCCTGATGTCTTTGTTGGATTGGATAGTAAGTTTGGTTTCTCATAAGACCCATTCTGATAAGCCACAATAGCTTTTCTTCTTACCAGTTAAAATTTCTGGTTGAACCTTTACAAGATGTCTCTCTGGCAGTGGCTCACTAATCAGTTGCTGAGGAGTTCTGGGTTTTGTTACTCTTACCTTTAATGTGCTAGATACAAGTGTTTGCAATTTGTTACATTCAACACCACCACCACCTCCTGCCTCTCCTATTTCTTGCCCTTTTTTCAGGTTGAACGGCCATTAGCTGGCTCGCTGTACTAGAGATCCCTGTTTAAAGATGCAGGGGTTTTATCACTTGGTGTTCTTGCTTTTCCTGGTTCTCAGCTTTACCTCTGCAGATAGCTGAAGTCCTAGAGCAGAGGATATGGTACAGCTATGAAATACCTTTTGGGGAAATTTGCAAGACATAATTGAATGGTTTTTGTTGAGTCTTCTGAACGAAAGTCTTGAGTTTCTATCCCTATGAACTATGCAGCATGTATCTTAAACTGGTACTCTAAAAAGAATGATGATTACATGCTGGTAATTCATTACAGCTCATGTGATATGTTAAGGCATTTGTTTCTTAACAGAGCAGCCAAAGCCCTTCCAATCACACAGTTCAGGAAAAGTAGCTGCAAATTCCTAGCAGCTCTGAGTAGTCTCAGCACAATCTGCAGAGTTCCTCTCTCTTGCCTTGTCACTGATATATCTCATACATTCTTTCAATTTCCTTCTGAGTTCTGAACCTTAAGGTGGGAGGACTTTGTTACTTTTGTCTGTGAATGGGTGGTTTCCCTTAGGTTATTTCTGACAGTCAAGGACCAGGACAGTTGGAATGCTCATTGCTCATTCCTCAAATAGGAGCTGTAACTGGGCCTTGTCTTTTCTCAACTTGAGTAAGGTCTTAGTTAATTAGGCTTGTTTACATAATAGTCCTATTTCCTCATGGCAGAGTTGCATTTCCTTCCCAGCAAGCCCATAATAAGAGTTAGCTGTTTATTCTCCAGAAGAAACAGGCCTGGTAAATAAAAAAAGTTACAGTGGTTGTTGCAGAGGGTATCCTTTCTGTAGATGCTGTCTTCTGAATCATATTCCTCAATCTTGATTGAAGCTATTTTATACTAAAAATTTTGATTTATTTCCATGTATATATACCTTTTTTTTTAGTCCTGATTATGAAACTTGGGTGTTAAATTAGTACTATTTTCTATTGCTTTGATGTGAAACTGGTAGATATCCTTTTTACGCTTTTCCCAAATAGCAGTTCAAATGTCTCTGAAAGTAAATAATGATTTTATATCCTCTAGTAAGCCATGGCACCACAATTCTTATAGCCACAGATGTTTTTTCATATACCCTACCATGTGAGAAGTATATTAATTACGAGCTAGCTGTATTTCTGTGACATTTAGATGATAAGAATCAAAGCACTATGTCTCTATTGCATAGACTTCTTTGCTACTGGTTTTATCCCTAAAGAAGCCACCAACATACCATTAAATATTTAATGCTTGAGTAGAGGTGAATCCTCCTTTCATAAGAAGTTACAAAGTTGTTTGGAGACAATTGTATGAACAGATGGATCTGCTTTTTCCTCTGGACTCCCTGCCCCCAAAGCTATGTAACTATCATCCCTCAGGGAACTGCTAAGATTTGCATTTTGCATGCTTTAAGCCTTCGAGGTGATTTATCACATTTACTTGTATTTCCAGTCACCTCCACCATACTGGTCCAGTACAGGGTGCTTTCTGCTCTTGGGGTAACTCCTAGCATAACCAAATGAATTACAACTCTGTTCTGTAAATTGAATTAGTTATTGAAAAGGAGACGAAGAGAGGTATTTTAGCCTCTCCTTTCTCTCCTCCTCAGCGCTGCACAAGGAGAGACACTTGTGATTTAATTAGTTCCCCAGAGGCTGTATGGGAGGAGGACATCCCGGTTTCTAGGTAACAAGCCTTCTGCCCTGCACACCCTTCAGCTCCAGCCCCTCCTTTCTCCTCCCTCTCCACTAAATTTTCTTTTGACCTCTCTATTTTGTTGTGGTTCACTGGTTAAATTTAGAACAGGAATGGCTTTGATTAAAGACATGGTCCCTGCTGCTCTGGCAATCTAGTCTAGCTCTCCAGCTGTCTAGTGGGAGGATAGATCTGAGGTTCTGGAGAACCTTCTTACTCTGTCCCTCCCAGCAATCCCCACTTCAGCCAAAGCAGCTGCCTGACACTTCTTGCCTTTTGAATCATCTATTATGGGACAAACTTATGACCCATCCCAGGTGGCCATATCATCATTTGTTTCTGGTTTTGTTGGGTTGATTGGTTGTGGTTTTGGTTTGGTTTTGTTTTCAGTTTTTGGGTTTTTTGTTTGTTTTTGGTGGGTTTTGTTTGTTTGGGTTTTTGTTGTTGTTGTTTTTTGTTTTGTTTATCTGGTTTGATTTGGGGTATTTTGGATTTTATTTTGTTGGGTTTTTTGTTGTTGTTAAGGATTTCTAGTAGAGGTTCTCAATTATTTGAACAGTTTTTTGGTTGTTGTTTGTTGTGGGGTTTTTTTTCCCTCTCAGGTCAGGAACATTATTTGAGTCTCTTGGTAACACAAGCATTCTACATTGCTTGTAGTGATAGACCCTGATATAATCCTGTCCAACCATTTCGTATTGACCAGCAGGGATAACAAGTATTTGCTTAGTGACCAGAGCCAAGAAATATTTTACATTTTTTAATACGTTCACTGTATTATTTACAGAATTTTCAGTTATGTGGCATTTCAGCTGAAGTAGTTAAAGGAGAGTATATTCAAGAAGGTGATATGGCAGAGCAAAAATAAAGTTCATTATATCAATATCATTCATTATATCATTCTATCATCATATGAACTTTGCCCTCCAAGGATTATAGATTCTCTCTGTATGATTCACATCTGTCCCATAAAGTTTCAGTCTCTTAAGTCAAGGATGTCCTTTTGCAATATTAAAATTTATTTCAAATTCCAAGGGATGTCTTAGCTATAGAGTAAAGCCACCTCACACCTCTTATTGTTCCTTTGGTAATCTGTTAATATTCTGTACATTCAGTTTCCCTAACTATGCCTATTCTGGTGTCCCAAGATGACCTATCTGCTTTGTTTACTAATTCTAGCACTTTGGTCATAGTGGATCAGTCTCCTCCCTATGGAGGGATTCTACAGTGACCATCTCAGGAATATTTACAGCCCGTTTGGGGCCTGTTTGTGACGCCAGATGTTATTTGGTTATGGGATCTGTCAAACTGTACCATCCAGGAGGCTCCTGCCTTCCTGGTCTTTCAGACATGAGACCACCAGAGTGTTCCCAGGTGCACACAGAAGTGCACCTGGGCCTGAACTGCAAAAATGTGCCTGTGCACACACAGACAGTACAGACATTATGGCTGTGTGGCAGGATAGGGCTTTTACCAGCACACTCAAACACAAATGGCATTCCCATGGAAAAGAAAGGCCACAAATGGCCTAATCCTGTCCCTGCTTATCAGGTAAAAAGGCTTGACATTTGCTAGCATATCACACATGCCCTCCCTTGGCTGACATGCATACTTGTGGTCATGCATCTGTCCACTCTTTGCCAAACCTCGAGTTCTTCCAGTATCCATCTCCAGGCCTTGGGCTTTTTAATTCAACCTCTGGCCAGGATCTTGGGTTTCCAGATGGTGTTTTTCTCTATTTCACAGGCTATGCCAAAGTGAATTTAATCAAATGAATGTACTCAGTAACCATTTAGGAGCAGAAAGCATTAGAGAGGATGAGATAGACCCCAGTGGTGATGCAGAGCAGCAACCTGCAGCCTGCTAATGTGGTCAATCAGTATTCTCCCCAATCCCCTTTCTGTTCACAATAGTTGTTTCTCACCTGTGATCCCTCCATTTCTTTGCCTTTGGTCCTTCCCCTAAACATGCATAAGTTTTTCACAATCCTACAGTCTCCACTCAAGATACCTTGATATGTTTTACCCAGTCCCAGAATTTCCCCCATATCCCATAGGAAGTTTGCTCTTGCCAGTGAGATATGGGTCTGGTAACCCAAGATAGCATTGTTCCTCTTCCTTACAAAGTTTCTGGTTGAATTTTTTCAAGGTCACACTCAAGTTATTCCTGTACTGGCCCATCCATCAGTGTCCCAGGAGTTCTGGGTATTTTTACTCTCTCTTATCTGCAGTTTGCTGGAGTTTGTTAGTGTTTGGGCATCTGTGCATTTAATTTATCACCTGTCCTGTTCCTAGATTTCTATGCTGAATAGCCAATTACCAGATACCTTTATAATTTCCTATTTACTTGCAGCTACAAAACCATATTGCAAGAAGCTTAAGACAGCATGACACAATGTTTGTAATGAGTTCTTTCCTGTATTCCAGTTGCTGTGGTTGTTCACAAAGGTATTCAATGATTTTGAATAGGAAGGTTTAGGAAAAAATCTGTCAAGATAAAACTAACATGAAAACTTTTTATTTTGTCCAAATTATTTGAGTTGATGATTGGTTTGCTTTAGTTTATATGCAGGGTTGAGGGTTTTTTTATTCCACATTTTAATAAGGGGCATGATTCATGTTAGTTTGTTTCCTTCTGCTTTTTTTTGCCCTCTCATAATTCTCTGTACTAGTTTTTCATTACTTTACAAAGCAAGTTGAAAGGAATTTCTTTCTTTTGACCATCTGTTTGTGATTGCTGCATTTTGCTTTTCTCTAGCAGCTTAATATTGCTATGTTGAAGTGGAGGGTTTGAAGCAAAGCTTTGTTCTTGTAGGAGGCAAGTTTCATTTAGGACTTTTTGTATAAAAATAGGCAAGTCCATAAAGTGGGTGTTTCATGGTGGTGTGAGAAGCAGTAGGGCTCATCAGTATAAAAGACAATCCAGTAATTTAAATCTTAGTGCTCACAGTTTTTAGTCTCTACTTCTTTTTTCTACTTGCCTTGCACATTATTCCTAACTTCTTTTTACTTCTCTTTCTCCTATTTTTTAATCCTTAATTAGAATGCATGGCCCTGGGTATGGGTGGGGGGAGACTGTCTCTTATTGCCTACATATTTTTTTGACAACATAAAAATAGATTCATCTTCTTGCTAGGTCCTCTGGATACTCTTATATCTAAGATGAAACAATTCTAACCTTTCAAACTGCCATCTGGCTTGTGGCCTAGTTCAAATGGCACATTGCCATCTGAATGACTGCAGGACTTAATTTGTAGCTTCATAATTGTCAGTGATGACAGCCTGCTCCTAAGGGAGGGTGAGCAGGGAGTCAAGGGTGATCCCAGCCCTGGCAGTGCCCTCACAGACCAGGGCACAATACTGCAGCATCTGAGCATGGAAGGCAGAGGCAGGTGCTGGAATCCACAGCCCTCAGCCCTAGATAAGGCAAACTGGTGAACCAGTCCAGGGTCTACCCAAAGGCCAGGTAGGAGCAGCAGAAGATGGAGCTGGAGACACAGATGCAGTAAAAATCTGAGGTTCATGCAGCAGACAGGGCTTGAGACAGGTAAACCTACAGCACAACTCAGGAAGGGAATGACTGGCCCAGGCTGAGCTTAAAAAGAGCCCCTAGGGAGACAGTGTGGGTGCAGGTCCCAGGGAGACCAATCAGGGCTGTTAAAGCTTCAGGGTTCCTACAGCAGCAGCAACTCTTTGATTAAAAGTGTTTGAGAAAGAATCAGTATTTCTAGTGTTTTTGTGAGAGGAAATGAACATAGAGAAATCAGAGCACAAAATACAATATTGTTTGTTTTCTTTACAGTTTCTTTGATTTAACAGACTTTCTCTTGATGTAAGAGAGACTCAAAAGGCTGCTGTCTGCCACAGGAATAATTTGGAATTAGATGCCAATAGTTCTGAAAAGGAAGTACCAAGACAATCACAACATACAGAATAAGAATCAAATTATCTGTGACTGTTGGGTTTTAATCACAAATATACATTAGGAACATCAGGATTTTTTAGTCTTTTTCTTTTGACACTGATGAACTATCTCCCTGCATGGACAACTCTATCTGGGCTCTCTGTGACTGCATGTTAAAATGTGTCACAATGAGGGTAGTAGCTTTTGAATAACTATCTTGTACAATTTCCATCGAAATGTCAAAGATAAAAATTTGCTACATACAGTTGTTTGCTAGACAGCAGCAGAATCCGCAGAATGCAGGATTTTTGTTAAGGAATTTTGTAGAGATAAGGAACTCGAGGTTAAACTTTTTAGTGTATTGTTACTGTCCATATTTCTTCATTCAGTGTTTTAAAAAACCCCTGAGAATGTGAGTATATGAGTTAATTTGTTTGACAGAAATTAAAGACAAACAAATAGGTCCTACGTGTGGGGTTTGAGCAGTATTTTCTCTGAAATGTGGAGTACGTGACTGGGTGTGTTACAACTGGCCCCCTTCTGTGCTTCTGAAGTGTAAATCCCTACAGGGGAGGGATTTGAGACCGTGTTTAAAAAAGCTTATGCAGTTCACAGAATTTGTTCAGTTTATTGCAAAAGTTAGACTGTGTTATCTCTTAACTCCCAGCAGCACTTCCTTTGTTAAATCAAAATTAATACAGGCTGAGTGCTTGTAGCTTTATCCTCAGAAACATGGGCGGCACAAAGTACCTGGTTGTGTTCAAGGGTTGCTGCCTAAGGAAAACCTTCATGGATTTCTTTGGGATGTATCCCCACACTTCTCATTTCACTTGCTAACTAGGCTGGCTTGGGGTTCATTAGCATATGACACACACTAGAAATTAGTGTGTGCCACTGGAGACCCACTGGAGAGAGCAGGACCACACAGGAAGCAGGTAAGAATGGAGTTTAATAAGAAGACAGGATGGAGTGTAAGAGTTAGGCTGTGCCAGACAACTGAATTGACCAACTTCCTGCTTATGTGCAATGGGCCCCTTTTATCCTTCCCTCTCCATTTTCTTATGTTTGTTCTGCCCTGATCCATCTTGATCTTTTCCTTTTCCTGCCTTTGGCCTTTCCCTTAAACAATGCCCTATAAGTCCTGTACAAATCCCCCCAAATCTTTTGACCAGTCCCAAATTCCTCCCCAGGGAATGCATCTCAGTTTAAGTCCTGTACCTCTTTATGCAATAGTCCCCCTTGTTTTGTGTAGTATTTTGGAGAGGGTTTCTTCTGTTAATCCCCTTAGTGGGTGGGTTGGTTGTCCATCTTTCATGGTTTTAGGAGTAGTTGATTTGGATGGGTAAGGCTGTCTGTGTTCTTCCCTTTGTCATCCCAACCGTGTTTCTCTGACTGCTATCTGCTTTTGAATAGCCATATGATAGACATCTTTTTCTGATTGCTTTTTCTTAGTTTAGAAAAGGCCAGCTTTCAGTTAAGTATTTAAAGATAATGATGTAAAAAAATACCTGTACCAAAGGCTGAATGTGGAAAACATTACCTTGAAATGTTAGACCATAATAAAGTATCAAGTGGTAAAAAATTAAAAAGAAATATAGCCTACCTAGACTTACTTTGCAATGATCCAGAGCTGTTTTATTATATGTTGAATGAGAAGTTTGTAGGTATTTCAGAGATGACAAACAATTCTTTCCTTGTATTAATGTAAATTGAGAAGTTTACATTTATATCTGTGTGTATTCATGGTATTATATTCAATGTCTCCTACAAGACAGTAGGGACTACTGGATTGACTGGATTTAGTACCTTTTTAAATGATTTGTGCTGCTCTTGACCTAATCTTCAGTATGTTTTTCCAGCTGCTGGTTCAGTTTGTTCAAAATACTTCTATTCCACTGGGACAAGGACTGGTGGAGTCAGAACCAAAAGACATCACCTGTCTCTCTTTGCTTCCTGTTACTGAGACCTCAGAATGCAACAGACTCATGTTGCCAGGTAAGATCTATGTGGCAGATCTTTGTGACCCTGCCCTTCATACAACTGTCTTTACTTCACCACTCTGGGCCCACTGTCTCTTGCTGATACGACATTCCAGGGATGGAGGAACAAGTTCAGCAGAGTGACTGAACTTTCTCATTTAATAGTGAAGTCTGACTAGTTAGAAACTTCCTCCTCCCTTCTCTCTCAAGTTCTGGGTTTTTTTTCTTAGAAAAATAATTTCATAGGTGTCCTTTAGTCACGGTGTATTTTTACTTTTATTTACTCTGGTTTCACTTTCCTCATTAGATGATGAAAGAGATCTCACTTCTCCAAGTCACACTAATTCTTCCAAAGATGTTTCTTCATCTGCTGTCTTGAGAAGTCTCCAGGTAAATGTAGGCCCTGATGGAGAGGAAACAAGGGCACAGAATGTACAGAAACCATCTGAACTTCTGTCAACTCCAGAAACTTCTAGTTTATTGCAAGACTTCCAGCCCAGCGACAGCACTTCATTCATTCTTCTCAACCTAACAAGAGCAGGTAATTGTCCTTCTGTTTGTCATCTGGCTGGATATGTCTCAGCAGAATGCAGGAGATACAAGTACAAATCTGTCCCTGCTGCTTATGAAGAGGAAAGATCATGAAATTTGCTGGGCATTATTGGACATTTTAGGGGCACTTAGTCATCAACATCTTTCTACAATGTAGAGGTCAGTGGAGACTTTTTCAGGGCAGCTATTTCATCCATGCTATGAGCACTGATATCTGAGAAACAAAAGAAATTTCTCTCTGCTGCATTATTGTTTCACAAATTTGTCTTTTCTAGGGCTGGGGTCTCCCGCAGAGCACTTGGTGTTTGTTCAAGATGAAGCAGAAGATTCTGGCAATGACTTTCTCTCCCATGATAGCACAGACAGCAGTACCCCATGGTTCCTACGAGTGCAGGAATTGGCCCATGACAGTTTAATTGCTGCCACTCGGGCACAGCTCGCAAAGAATGCCAAAGCAAGCAATAATGGTAGGAGATCCACAGATTGTGGCTCAAAGTTGAATGTTCCGTACAAGACTCCTAGTTTCACATTGTCTCTTTCTCTTTTTCTCTCTTGCTTTGAATCGCTTATGACATCTTCAAATCATCAGTGACAGAATTATATAGAACAATTATGCTTTTTTCTTCATTATAAATAGGCTTCTCATTTTTTCTTGGGGAATGAACTCTAGCGGAACCATCTGTTCATTGTAGCCTACTAGTTCTCCAGTACATGTAAAGAATATCTTGCTGACTATATCTGCTTGATTTTCAACTTTCATTTTCATTTTTAAGAGCCTATTTTTAATACATACTGTGAATAATACTTTCTTTTTAGCTCTACTGAGCTTGGAGATCAGTTTTCTGGAGAATTCATAATTGGATTTAGTCGCATGCTTCAGACTTAATTATTTTAATAAATAATTGCACGCAAATGCAATACCTCTTATTTTAGCTGAGGTGTTTTTAAAAGCAGCTTAGCCAATAGGTGAAATTGGCTGCTAGTTAAAATTGGTTGTTTGATATTGATATAGAGACCATTTTTACCATTTCTGGTGCATTGGCTTTCTATTCTTTTTGTGATAAGCCTTATCTGGTAGCAGCTGATCTGATCCAGATGGCTTGTTGGGAATATTTTATGGGCCTGGTAGGGTTTGCAAATCTGTGTCTGATCCCTGCTATAGGCTAGGCAGCAGCATGTAGGACATCCTAAACAGTTAGTAGCCAGACACACACGTGATTTATAATCCTGTATCGTATATGATGCTGTTTTTTCTATTAAACTTGACCGATTATAGTGATCGGTTTTTTTTTTTTTTTTTTGGTGGGCTTTTTTTTTCCAGGGGAAAATGTTCATCTTTGCACAGGAGACGGGCCACCAAAAGATTCAAGCCCCATTCCTCATTTATCTCGTGTGGAAAGAAAGCTGAAGTGCACAGTTGAGGGCTGTGATCGGACATTTGTATGGCCAGCTCACTTCAAGTATCATCTGAAAACACACCGGTGAGCAGAATGAAGCTATTTGTTGTTATGGCCTTGAAAAAATGCACTCTGTATTTGAGATAATGTTAGGTTTTGACATTAAGAAGCTGTGAAAGCCTGGCATTATTCATAGAAATATTAGGTCTGTTGAGTGCTTTAAGTCAATTATGCTGAAAAACTTGGATTAGATTTAGATAATTTTGCAGGTCCTTGTTATGTTTGGTTTAGAATTTTTGTATTTTAACAGGTACTCATATTTAATAAAAGAAAGAAGTCAAGTGTTCATGAAAAAATGCGTTGCAGTAGCTGGTAATGAAACAGCTTTTTGTTGCTTTGCAGTAACGACCGCTCCTTCACCTGCCCAGCAGAGGGTTGTGGGAAAAGTTTCTACGTCTTGCAGAGGCTGAAGGTGCACATGAGAACTCACAATGGTGAAAAACCCTTTGTGTGCACAGAACTGGGCTGTGGTAAACAGTTCACAACAGCTGGAAATCTGAAGAACCACCTACGAATTCACACTGGTGTGTTTTAGACCTCACCTATTTGTGGTCTGCTGAGGTGGGGTCTTTCCTGAGGAATAAACCACTTCCTCCTCTGTCCTCAAACTATTGAAAGTATTATGTTGTTTACCTCTGCCCTCCATTAATGTCCCTTTTCTGTCAATTCACCTTGATCTGTAGGTTGGCCAAATCAAGCGCTAATCTCTTTTACTATCCTGTACAGTTTCACACAGTCTTTACCTTTCAAATGGTGTGTGGTGATGCTGTATTCTGCTCAGAACATACTCTGAAGATTCCCTTCCAGTAGTGTGATGGAGGGATGGGTGTGTGAAACTAGACTGTTACCAAGGGAATAGTTAGTGAACATGACTTCTGAAATTGTGTTTTGTAAAGAGGTTATTTAAAATTCCTGAAAGGTTCAATAACTTAGATAGTAGGGGCTGTGCTGACGTCTGCCTGACTGACTAGCTTGTGTTACCTATGCTGCTTCTAGAATGACTACATTTGGGACATATGGGGAAATGAGGAATGCAGTGGAATGAGTAGCAAAAATATAGTAGCAAAGAAAAGTAGAAAAAAGCATTAATTAGAAGGCAGCATTATGGTGTGCAAACTGCTGTTTGTGCCAATGCTATTTTGGGATGTTACTGTATACTGGAGCCTGTACACTCTCAATTCATGCTCAGCTTTTTATAGTAAATAAAATAAGAACTTTATTTCGTAGTGCTGTATTTTATACATGGTTTGTTTATGATGGCTCCTCTGGAGAATATGATCCTGCCTTGTCAGTATTTTTAGAAGTTGGTATAGCAGCCAAAGTGCTTTAGGTATTTTTGTACTAGAAAGTTGTTTGAGAGAGGCACAAAAGTTACTGTTGAAATGACCAGCAATATAATAATGACCAGCAATTTAATTAATGACCTGCAAAGTTCATAGTGAATAATCTGGTGATTTTGTTTGTTTAGTTTTTTAAGCCTCAGGGTTATCGCAATACTCAAACAAATGGCCCTGTTCAGGTTTCTTGGAATATTGTTAGAGATTCCCTGATGGCCTTGCAAGCATTGTATTACAGTTGGTTAACATTTCAAAATAACCTTGACAAGTGTGAGAGAACAAGGCCTCCCTGGTAAAATGAAATTACAGATTATGTGGGTCGCCAGCAGCTGTTTGTGCCTTCTGCCTGCCTTAAACACGACCGTATGGTATGTGGTGTGTCGATGCACATAGGAAAAAGCTGCTATTTTAAAGTATGTGCAGTCTAGCTGGAACACATGGTCTGGGGGCAGATGTTGGGATGTAGTTAAAAATTGTGTATCCCAATAATAAAATTTTGAATGTGTAGTAACAGCAGCCATAGTTTTTGCAGTTTTCTTTTGCATTTACAGCTCCCAGCCAAGCTCCCAGATTAAGTTAATAGGCCCAGCTGATACATGCACAATCCTCCCTGATAAGAGAGCATTCTGCAACCAGCAGAGTAGTAGCTTCTGGAGGAGTAAATAGTAGCTTTCTAAACTGCAAATGGATAAAGTGGAATCAAGAGTTTGATCAGACCAAAGGTGTTATCACATTGCAGGTGTAAGTAGCTCCAGGGTGTCTTATAGATGGAACCGTGTGCTGTTATTTAGGTCAATGGTAGTTTTTCCAAACTTTTAAAGATTTTTAGCAAACCTGAAAGTACAATCAGTGTTTCAGACTCTGCTACATATTTCAGCTTTGTAACACCAATTGGAACATGCTGTGTTGATCCTTTTTGCTTACAGCTGTCAAATACTATTGTAGATAAGAGGCTAATAAATGAGGTGTTGGGAGAACAGTTCTAAAGGCAAAGGCACAGCAGAAATATCTTTAAAAACAAGTTTACTCTGAAAGAACTACATATATGTTGTACAATAAATTATTAAAATAGCTTGCTTAATCTCCTGTGGTCTTGCTATTACTCTTGTACAGGGGTCCAGTTAAAGACTTGAAACGATAGCGTTAAACATGGTATATTGAGTTCTTTAGTGGGATGTTGCAGGCAAAAGTTGTGTCTAGCTTTATTAAGAGAGTGTTCAAAACAGATTAATTTTATTGCACTGCATTAATGTAGTAACCTCCCAGTTTATCATAACTTAAATAAATCCAAAATAGCTGGGATATAAACTTCAGCCCATGAGAACAATTCGTGCCTTGAATTACAATTCCTCCTCACATAGATATAAATGACTGACACATCTCTCACAGGATTTTGGCAAGTTCAGCCTGATCTGAAACAAAGTATAGAATCTGATATGAAGGGAAATACAGTTAATGGGGTTTTTGGCACTGAGAGGCAGAAAGGGAGCAGGACCCTGTGAGTGTGTGGAACAGAAAGCTGGTTGTTGAGAACTGCAAATAGAAGATACATCATAGATCAAGTAGTTTTATATTACTCTATTATTATTTATATACTTGGAAGATTATCTGGACAGTGCTTCAGTTTCGATGAATTATGGTTTAAAAATACTTTAAAATAATGCCTCTGTTTCCTCTGGTGAAGAGAATGCTGTAAAAGCCTTAGGAAACTTAGGAAGGATGTGCAATTTCCATGGAACTCTGATATACATAAGGCCAAATGGGAGAATGGAGTAGAGATGTCCAGGCTGTTCTCAGGGACTTGGGCAATCAGATTAAGTTGTGATCCCAAAATCTAAGAACTTACTTTTCCCTTGTAGGGGAAAAACCCTTTCTGTGTCAGGCACAGGGATGCGGTCGCTCCTTTGCTGAATACTCCAGTCTTCGGAAACATTTGGTTGTCCACTCAGGTAAGAGTCTTCATCTGATATTCTGTGATTTGTCTGAAAAAAGACCTTTATTGTAGAACTTTGATTTTATTTCCTTAGAAAAATCCTGGTTTCTACAGAACTTTTGGTCATAGTGTTTTTTGACTTCCCTTTTGTGGTGCCTGTAGTCTGTACATTTTAATTTTTTAGGTTGTGTCTATTTTTAAACTGAAATTACATTCTAAATATTTTTTCTAAAATGTCGTGAAGTTGAATATCTTTTTCATAGCTGCCATTTGGTTATTTAAAAGAGAGACTCTAGCATCTCTGTATATTAACCACAGCCATTTGAATCTGAAATCTCTTTAAATTGGGTAGGTTTTCCTAGGTAGAGTTTTCTAAATGGGTAGAGTTTTCTAAATGGGTAGAGTTTTCCATTATTTTTTCCTCCTACATGCTTGTAATTGGACAAAGTTTTAGGTGGAGATGTATTTCACAAGTGTTTCAAAGCTTCTGCCTTCTGTTTTGATTGATCTGTCAAAAATATCATCAGCATACAATGAAAATGGTATGTTTGGGGAATGGGAGATTTTATTGAGGTAATAACATTTGGGATTGAGTTCTCCATGCTCTTTCTGTCCTGTCTCCTTGGCTTCCATGCCATTGAGCCAAGAAGTATGGAGAGCATGCTTGTATTGTGAAAATTATGAACTGCTCTGTAAAATGAAAATCCTTTCACAGTGACAAGTCATCATCAAGTCTCTGCTCAGTAATGTAAAGCAGATGCTGCAATTCATTGTGTGATGGCAGGAGACAGCTTCTTTGACTCTGGTCATTTTATTCTATATGTGGGACATCAAGTATTTCCATATCAATGAGTAAATGATTTGAAATAACTTGTTGCTTCTCATCAGTCTGACTTGAAGACTTTGCTACTCTTCAGACTTGAGTTATCCAACAACTGCCATTACTGATATCTAAACCTCTTCTATTCTAGAAGCTTATGGCCCTCCAGGAGATGGGAATATATCTCATTTGGTTTTTACTGATAAATTACCACCAGCGGTATTAACAGCCATTTCAAAACTGTTATTAGTTTCTTAGTTGATGAGGTCTCTTCTCCCAGTTTGGTAATTCTTGGGATATTTCTTCCCCCTTTGACTCCAAGGAGTGAAGCCCCATCAGTGCCAAATTTGTGGGAAGACATTTTCCCAGAGTGGTAGCAGAAATGTGCATATGAGGAAACACCATTCCCGAATTGGAACAGCTGGCAGCAGGGAGCGAGAACAGCCAGGTAAAGAAGGGAGCACACTCACTCTGGGGGAAAAGTGCAGGAAAAAAATTAGTAGATGGTTGAAGAAGAGATGTTTGTCCTCATAATATGAGACCACAAGCCAGTAAGAAACAAAAGTCCTCTTGGAGATAAGGACTGTTTACCTTTTCCTTTTCTAGGACAGAAGACAAAGGTGTATTTTTGTATGGCGGTCAAGGGGCAGATATGTTTATTGTTTTCAAAATCAATGGGAACCTAGTTGGGGTTTTTTATGTGGATTTCTTCCCTTGGTTATGTTTTCTTGTTGCAAGCAGCCTGGGTTTTTACACAATGTGAATTATTTAAAGATAAAGACAATCCTGCATAAGATCCCACCATAGTAAGGTTCAAAACAATAAATATAGTATTTTCCATCTATTGGAGCACTGGCTGCCCAAAGAGTAGAAATGGATAAAGTAGGTGTCTAGGGAAGAATTCAGTACAACTTGAAATGGGGCAGGGATTGTAGCTTATATTACAGTGTAATTGCATCATGGGAATTCTCTTTTGCCCTTTTTTTTCACAATAGAGTCACTGATGGGCAGCAGTTTGCTGGAAGAATCAACAGTGCATAGTAAGAATCTCATCTCCATGAACTCTCAGCCCAGCCTTGGTGTTGAGTCTCTGCACCTGCCAGACACTGAGTCAATTATTGGAGTAGAAGAGGGTGAGACCAGCTGCTCTTTTTTCCGCCCTCTTATATGTGGTGACTGAGATGGGATCCATCATTCCTCTTGAGGCTCACCATATTGCAGCGGGATGAATGAACATTGCTTTAACTGTGCACAGAGGGGTGGGTAGATAGTGGATGAATCCTAAAACTGGAGTTGGAGAAGATCTGCTGGACCAAGTTTCTCTCTTGCAAGGTTTGAAAGGTGAAGCCTGCTTAGGTGTCACTTAGCCCATGTTGTGGAATGCCATTTCAAAACTGCTTATGCAGTCCATCCCCCAAAGCCTAAAGTGTTTGTTTTGCTGGAGCACCTAGGAGCCCCAGCTAAGGACCAGGACCTCATTGTGCTAGGCACTGTTCAAATATTCAGTATCTTGAGCAACAGGCCTTCCTTCCACCCTTTACCTTCAGAGACTATATTCTAATACATCTCACTGTCAGAAGCTGACTTACTATATGAAATAAATGTACTACTTGATATCATTTGGTTACATTTCATGTGTTCTGTTCCTGCTTTTCCCAGTAATTTTTCTCCAAAATATTTTTGGTATATCAAGCTCTTTAAATGAGTCTTCCACATGGTGTTCTGAATATTTTGTTAACTTAAAGAGCCTTCATAACTGGTGTTACTGAGAATGCAGAGTTTTGCTAAGGTACTGTGTATCTGTAATAGCTTCTATGCAAAGGGAATGCCTAGAGTTTATATTGCTCCCTAGCTGAATGGAAAGGTAGTGCTGCTGCTGGTACAGGTATTGTAACCTGGAGGTTCCTGCAGAAGCTCCACCAGGTACCTGGGAATCAAAGTGATGCAGTTTGGCTGCCATCTCAGCAATTGATGGGAGATACTCCAGTGAGATGTCTTCTTTTCTACGGTATTTTTGTAGGTTAGCTGAACAGGCTGTAAATCTTGTAACTGAACATGACCAAATACTTTCATAAAATGCAAAAGTCCAGAACCATAGTTGAAACTCTTTATTTCCATACCATTTTTGAGACATATTAAGAGACTACAGCTCTCTTTTAGGATTACAGAAACGTAATCCTCCTTTCAGAACAAAACGTTGTTTAGCAAGAGAGATGTGAGTTTCAGTTACTTAGTTTGATGCTTTTACTTTTATCACATTTCTGCAATTTCAGTTTAGGGACCAATATGAAGGCTTTAATTTATTTGTTATTATATTCATGCATGTCACCTTAGTATTTTTTAAAAGGATATGGCATAATAATTTAAACTTTTGTTCCTCCTTTCTTAGGGTTTCCCTTTTCACATCACATACTTGGAAATTTCTTTTTTCGGCACCATTAATTATTATTATGGAAATCAGCAACCAATTTTAGTAAATACCCTTTAAAATGTATGTATTAAAAATTCAGTCCCACTGCTCCAAATATATCCATACAAAGAGGCTTTAAATCACAGACTTAGAGTATGGAAGTAATCTTCTTTCCTTCCTCCTTCAGTGTGGCGAGGCACAGTGACAATATGGTTACATCACTGCTCCTTTCCAGGGGGTACCCAGAGAAAGAACAGCCTCTGGATGTCCTACACAATTACACCTGTGTAGGAACTGGTACACTGGTAACAGCCTTTCTGGAACCCTCCAAGGAGCTGAAGCCTGTTCTCAGTGTGGAGACTGAGTCACTAATGAGGATGTTGCAGTTTGGTGCATTCAGTCTGTAACGTAGCAGTGTGAAACCCCTGGGCCACAAATCCTTGGATTTAGTACTTTGTTATGATTAAAAATGTCATTATTTCAGTTTTATATCTTTGTCTAATGTGGTAGCTCTGACAGGTACTGTACTTCTGACTTGATGATAAGGCTGTGTTGTTACAGTGTAAGGAAAAAAGGATTAAGGTGATAAAAAGAGACACATCTTGTATTTAAGTAATTGAAGAAAAGATAACCGATGAGGAAAATTGAGCAATATGGAAACATTTTATCTGTTTGAAAATATTTTAATGTCAAAGTGCAAAATTCTCAGAAAACATTCCAGGTGGCAAGGATTTTTATTTTTGAAATGGTTATTAGTGTCAAGCAAAGGAGGATCACTAAAGTGTGAAATACCCCTTTTAAGGTGCACTAGGCATTTGAGTGCAACGTCCTGGCAGACAACACCTAATCTTTTTTTCTTCCCAAATATATCTTTGATATCACAGTAATCATACAATTAGGACAACAATAATTCAAAGTGATGCATTCAAAGTGTTTAATTACAACCTTCTTCATAACTTTGGTTGTTTTTTGCGCCAAATTAATGACCCGAATTGGTAAGATGTTGAAACATTTTCGAATCATGAAACATGGGAGATTTTTTAATATAGGAAGATTATTGCTTCTTACTAATGGGGGGAAGAAGCCGAGCTGGTAGTGGGTGAATGAAGAATTAACACCAGAGAAAGACTACCTTTTGAGTCTTCTCCCAAGATAGCTCAGATCCTGATACTTGTTTTTGTAGAAGTACGTTGTTTGAAAGCATTCTACCACACGTGTCTAAAAAAAGCTTTAGCACAGTAGAAGGCATTCTCCCTTTCCTGTGTGCTTCTGTGGCATGAATGCAAGGAGCTGACAGTAGAGGATGCACCTCTTCAATCTTTCATATCTACTTTTATCCAAAGGAAGTCCTTCAACCTCTCTAACTTGTTTTGTTGCCCATTAAAGGGAAAGAGCTCACACAAGGGACACTTTTGAAGACTATGGGAGGCTGCAGGGTTTGCTGGGCTAAACAAGACATGCTCTAAAAAGCAGTTGTTTTTTTCCCTTTACTAAATTCTCCCATCTCACCCCACAGCAATTCTTAGGTGTCAGCTTAAACTATTAAGTTCCTGAGGATGAACCTGGAGAATCTTGAACCAAAGAAGTCAAGAACTGATTAATGGATTCTTCTGCAAGCTTTTATGTTGCCACTCCCTTTGTGCTCAGTTCCTCCTGAGGTACTCCTTCCTGTTCAGTACAGTCATCCTTTTCACCTCGAGGCTCGGGCAGCCTGCAAAAATAGTGATGGGCTAATGGCAGAAATGGTTTGCCCTGTGCATATGAAATAGGGTGCCGTCATAGGAATTCAGAGAGAGAAGCCACAATGCTTAAAAAGAGCAGTGAAGTTAATTTAGTTTTTCCTACACTAGATTATAGAAATTGGAATGCATTCATGAACAAGGAAAATATTTTTAGTCATAGACAAAAGAGCTGTACTGCATTTATTACCTGTGAAGATCAGAGTCTTCTTCCAGCGAGTCAGTGGCATCTTTCCCTTTTTTCCTTACAAATTCTTCGCTTAGGCCAACCTGCTGGAGGGTGCGTCTGTAGTGACGCTCTGCTCCTTGACGAGCACCATGCTGTGAAATTGAAACTTAAACAGTAAATGCAGAGAACTGGGGACTCCCCGTAACAGTCAACTGGTTTTGAAGTGTATATTTGATGCTCCTGATGGGGACAAGAGGACAACACAACCTCCTGTCCAAAATTTTTGTAATCCATACAGTACAGTACCAAAACTGAACACTAGGACAATATCTTACATGTCCCAAAGCCAGAGCTCACGTTTTCCTGCTTCAGTTCTTTTTTTCCTTCCTTCTTCTGTTCTCCTCCTTCTACCACATTCCAGTCTTAACAGACTGGTATACTTGTGTCTGAGTCCTAACTCTGACACTCATATCAAAAACATGTGCAAAACCCAAGTTATGTGAAACTCTGTAAGCACATTTGCTTGTAAGTGGTAAGAACTAACAACAGTGAAGTTAATAAATAGAGACTGCCTGTGAAATAGCTTCGTATCAGCTCAATTGAAAAACAAGCATCTTGAGTCCTATATCCTCACTGTTTCCAAGTGAACCTTGCAAATCAGTGTAGTCTTGAGATTAGGGTTTTCCAGAGGGACTGGCCAGTCCCTAAAGATTAAGGTGTTCTATATGGAAGGATAGAAACCTAGTATGGACATCAGTGAACACTATTGATAATGGTGAATTCTTACCAATCTGGTACATGGAAATATTACCAGTATTTATCACACATGTGTGTTCTCTGCTTCCATTATCAGAACAGAAAGCCTGATCCAGGAGGGTACTTTCTGTTGAGAAATTTTAAATCAGCATATTGTCAATGCATTGTCACTGTCTCTAACCAGCTGCAGTTCCTGCAAGGAAATTAAAGTGAAAGAAAAAACCCAGGGAAAAAGATACAGTACAGATTGTATCTACACCTCAGGTGCAATAGAGATTTGCAGCTGGTACTGTGTGATGGTTGAGATGTGCTGAATGCAGCCCCAGATTGCAAAGCCTACAGGTGATAAAAGCGACATAACCATCATTAATGTTCTTCTGTAGCAGTAGATGTACAAAGAAAAAGTGCTTAACTGGAGAGGGTTTTAAGAAAAAATTTTGCATCTCCTAAATGTACACTGTGGTATTCAGGTGCAGAATAGGTATTTATTTAATTTCTGGTGTGATAAGGCCTTGATTTTCATCAGACCATATATTGTGATTGCAATATATACTAAGAACTGGCAAGCTCCTAGAAATAAGCCTGAATGTTTTTTTCAAGGAAAAAATAGGAAGGAATTTAAAGTACACTTCGGTGGGTTTTCCATGTATTATTTTGAGTGCACCCCAGAGACTATGAGACCGTTTGTACCTTCTCATCCATGAATTAATTTGAGACTAGATTTCTTAACGCCTGTCTTAAATGAAAGACAATTTATCTTATTGCCCAGAAACATTCTGGGACTTTGACCACTTACCTTGGTGACCTGTTCAAAAAGGAATGGTCTGTTCTTGACTCGCAGCTTCATTTCTTCCAGCTCCTTTCTGTATTCTTTTGTTCTGTCTTGCATATTTTGCCTGAAATGGAAAAATTGCCTGTCTACTATAGGTTACCTCTGACTGTAGCTGATCAGGAATGATGAATTCTCAGTGAGTGTTCCATTCTTTAAATCACTTTGGTAATTCTCTTGATTCTGAATGCTGGGAAAAAAAACCCTATTGCTGACAAGTTATGGACCTATTAGCAAAGCTCTTCTAAACTGCAAGCAAGAAACAGTGTTCACATTTTTAAAAAAACTTGTCTCATGTGTTCTTTACCAAGCTACACATTACAGTTTACTGGCTTGTACAAATTAGTTTCTACAAACGTTAATCTAAAGGAAACTGTTCTTTATGGAAGGAGAAGTGTGGAATTGTCAAGATATCCAAATGAATGTGGAATGGATACAATAACCAAAAAAGGTTAGGCTAGGAATGTTTTTTATGCCCAATCTGTCCTAAAGAATTATCTGATCATCTTCAGTTAGTAGAGCAAAAGGTTATTTTTGTGCAGAGTAGGATACTGACCTGTTCTGTTTTAACTTCTCCTTTTGTGTTTCCTCCAGACTTTTATGAGGATCCAGTGCTTTTGCTCGGCTGTTCACAGACTTTTGCATAGCTTGACATTTCATTTTCTGTTTCTCCAGCCAATAAATTCCTTCTTTGTCCCCTTCCTTTTTGTTATCTTGGGCATATCTGTATGGAAAAAAAGTTACTGATGAGCCCATGTGGACTGCCCGATGCTAGGTGGGAATTTCAGTTTTGTAGTCTTCCAAGGAGAAAAAGTAAAATTTCAGCTGTACAAGTGTGCATTTTCCAAAGCAACTGGGAGACAGAGCAACACTTAACAAAGAAAGAAGACAGAGAAACATTTCGGAAATGTATCGTTGATGTAGCTGATGTGATGAGGGAAAACACTGGGTTTTTTTCCTCCATATTGGTCAGTAGTTGTACAGTCTTGTAGACCAACTTTCTACCTACCTAATAGCTGATTCCCTCTTTCTAGTTGCATCTGTAATATGCACAGGAAGGGTGTTGGAAGAGAGAGAGGAAAGTCCAGGCAGAGAGTGACTTTTTTGCACTGAAACCTTGGAAAGCTTCTGAGAATCCTGAAAGAAATGAAACTTTATTGAGTGTATTTGTTCACAGACAGTTGCTAGTACAGAATCTCCTCTGTTATTTGCCTACCAAAGAGAACAACTGGGCTATGAGAATGCACTCACTCTTCTCTCTTCCATCAGCAGAGATTTACATGTGGATGGGCTGAGGGACAAGGGGAAGGAGACATGATTAGAGCTATGAAAGGGTGACTGAGCCTTAGCTGTCATAGCTCATTTTGTGTAGAATTTTGTTCTCTTGTTTGGCCTAGAATTCTGCAGTACTCTCAATACAGAGGCAGATGTCACAGGATGTTAACCATTAATAATTAAATGCTATAAACTTGAGAAGTTGGTATCTTGATAGGAGAAAGCAGTACCACAGAAATATCCAGCTATCTCACCTTTATCTTTTCATTAGCCTGCCTCTGCCTGGCATGGAGATTGGAGGTTCTCAGCTTGAATGGCTTATTACGAGTTGGCTCTTTGATTTCTTGTCTCCTTACTGTTTTCCTCTGAAACGCCCAGTAAAGTTCTTCAAAATCTGGTATTGCTGGATTAATCCGTGGTTTGAAGCTGAAACTTGTGTCCTGTAAGAAGCCAAGTTTTTCCTGCTTAGTTCTGGTGGCAGTTCGGGACTGAGGCTCCCTCCGACAGTTGCTGGTGTCTATAGGAGCTACAGAGCTCTCCAGCAAATCCTTTGCTCTCATTTGAATGCAGATTTCCCTGTAGAGTTCAGCTTCTAAAGGATCAAAAGGAAAGCAATGAGAACAGTGTGAGTGACATAAAAGGCTGTGAAATTGCCACTGCCCAAGTCTAAACTTTCCATTACTATGGCAGCTACACATATAGGAGAGACCAAATATCCTGTGCTCTCTTTCCCCCCTTTTTCAGCCCCTCTCTTCTCTGCCTCCCAGGGAAAAATAATTCAAGGATGCCAGTAAAACCATGGTAGGGTCTCTTTCTTAGGCATTCATTTCTAGATATCTCTTTTACTTATTGGAGCAATAACTGAGCAGGACTTCTCCTATTCTTAAAGGTACCAGGTAACTTGTGTCCTTTGTCTCTTTTGTCTTGCAGAAATGTTAATCTTCCATACTAGTCCCATACTTTTTATATGGGACTTACAGCTATATTGACTGTGTGATACAAATGTGTCATTCAAGTATACTTGTAACAGATGATGGCTTTTCTATGTAATCTATATTGGAAAAGTTTTTAAGTAAGGAACGTTTGATGGATAGATCGCATTTTGTGACTTTTGTGACAAACTTTCATAGTATATGCTTTAGATTATAGCATCAAACTGAAGTCCTTCCCTGTGCAGCACTAAATATTTATAAAAATGCAGACAGTAGGCTGAGGGTTGGTTTTTTGCTTTTAGGGAAAAAAAAATCAATACTGCTGTTTGCAAAATAAGATGGTTTTGAGTTAATTTATAGTTATTCATTGCCTGAAGTATGAAATGTTAATTTGTCCTCCCTTCTCATATGCCAGATAGAAATAGAGCAATGGTTTGTCCTTTGCTGCTTTTTACCTTTCTAATCTATTTAGGTTAAAACAGAACGTTTTCTGATGAAAACTGAACTGGTGTATCCTCAAGAAGAAATCACAGAAACAGTAAAAAAGGAGAAAAGAATGAGAAAAGCCATGAGAATTATTAAGGACTGGCTTAGTTCCCACATTCAAGCATGAAGTCTGAATTGCTTACTTCAAACTTTCAACTGCGGTGGCTTAAGCCCTCTGAAAACAGGCAAGCATCAGTAACATTTCCTTGGCTACCCTGACTAGAATGGTCCTGGCATCTACTTTCCCTGTTTTAGCAACTGAGCCAACTGAGTGCAAGTGGGAAGGCCACTGGAAACATCATAAAATGGCAGGAGAGACTGGACTACTACACCATCACTTAGAACCAAACTAATTGCCTGATTTGGGCTCAGGAAATACTTGTCTCCTCTCCTAGGGGTTCTGTGCAGAATGGATCACTTGGGTAGGAGTAAAATTGTCAGATCTAAGATACTGCATGGGCCTTGGAGACCTATGGCACTACATCTGTCTTCGTGTTTGTGCCACAAATCATCTCAGTCCCTTCAGTGTAACCAAAGGTATGGAATCTAGCGCAGGGAAAGATTCCCAGACTGTGACAATCGGCAGCAAAGTGGATATGGAAATCTGTCTGTAGAGCTCAATGTGCCCATGTTTTCTGGGGAGTGGAACAGAACTGCTGTTGCTGACACTCATACAGGACTACTGAACTTAGGGCACTCTACTGCAAGGGTATCTAAACAAAATGCAATGACCAGTGACATACAGGAGACTCAACAACACCAGGGGACACTGGCCTTAGGCTCCAAGTGGTGCCCTACGAGCCATGATCTTACCTCCCAGCATGGAGACAGCAAGGGACAGGCAGGGAGGTGCTTTTACAGAAAGAGCCCTGGCATGTTACCTTTCAGTTTATCTCCAAGAAGTGAGTCATAAGTAGATTTAGGAACTTTTTTACTGGCTTGCTTCTGTTTGGAGCTCTCATTTGGGGTTGCTGCTGCCAGGAATTTTTGTCTGATAGCTTCTTTCTTTTTCTCTTCCTTCTCCAGAAAACTGAAGGGCCGCTGTGTTGAAAGTAGCAGCTCCTTTCTTTTCTGTGTTGCTGCTTGCCTGCGAATCTCATTCTGCTCCATTATTTCCTGATAAAGGGGCAGAAACACATGGGCAGGTACAGGCTGTGCCCGGAATTGTTTCTGACATTCAGCTTCATCCTGGCTTTGCCTTTTGTCTCTGTGTGTGTCTAGTTCAAGGAACATGTATGACTTCATCAACTCGGACTTTTTGCGAGCTTCCCGCAGGGTCATTTTGAAAGGCTGAGGGATGGTGATGGAAGGAATCCAGGGAGATGAAGCGCTTTTTGGCCTCAAGCGGGACTTAGGAAACAAGTGAGGCTTTTGCTGATCCCAGGTACTGTCTGAGGTGAGGTCGGTCAAAGAACTGGACTGCCTTATGTTACCAGATGTGTGACTAAGACAAACACATTATGAAGGGGAAATTAGTGACATTATTAAAAAACAGAGTTAAAAGAAGGGAGACACTACTGATTAAGAGAAAGACACCGCAGGCTGAGCTGGTTGTTGAAAGACAGGCCTAGGGTTTGTCATTCTCAGGTTCTATATTTTGCTTTGCTACCGAAGTTTGTGAGCAGAGCTTTGTTTGTTTTGTTTTCCATGTATAAAATGGAAGTTAGGCCCACTTAGCTTTATCATGCATTTTATTATGCTGAGAGCACTCTATTGCCAGAAAGGCCACAAGCAAACCATAAAGCTCCAGCTTTAGGGTTATCTTGCCAATAGCTACTCAACAGACAAATGCAGGAGAGGCAATCAGGCACACAGATGCACAAATCCCAACAAACAGTACCAAACACTAGCATTCCTGGGATGCTGATGGGAATGTCATTACAAGAAACTGCTTTAGTGTGATGTTTGAGAGGTTCAGCTAGAAACTTTGTACCTGAGAAGATGACCATATTATTGGTAATAAGAAAACCCATCTGAGACTATCCTGGGTCTCATTAAAATAGCAAACTTCTCATAGGACGTCTGAGGGTGATTGTGAAAGTGAGTGAAACTTAGATTTTAGGGAAGGAATAAATGCAGGCAAAAGGAAGGATCAAGGTGAATCAGAATGGACCAAGAACAGCAAAGGGGGAAAAAAGTGGAGGGAGACAGAAAGTGCAGATCATGTGTGAACAGACTCCTGGTCAATACACTTGCTGGTAATTGCTGCAGTCTCTTCTTCTTCATAAACTATTTCCTTTGTAAGAGTGCACGTGTGACCTGCTAGTGAATGCAAAGCTAGATTAACCACAAGGAAAGTCATCTGAGAGCTCGACCTTGGAAAGCCCACAGCTCTGAAGGCTGGATACTGGATAAGAATGTGTGTCATCTGTTGGCACATTGTAAGCATGATTAGCTGATGAGTGAGGCGGGGATTTGTGCCGTTCGTGTTTTAGGTGAAAGCTGCTTACGTGGGCACCTACTGACCCATCCTCCCTGCTGTGACTACACCTGTGGCCAGTGTTCTGGCACTATACACCCGCATTTTGGGACATCATGCTCCGCCTCCTCCCTGGCCAGAGGGAGAGGGAATCCTGCACCCCATCCTGCCATCCGTACCAGATATCGTCCTACCTGAGAGCCTCCCTCAGCTTCTCACGCAGAACTTCCGCCTCCCTCCTGAAACCCTCCAGCTCCTCATCTTCTTCGAACACGCCGAGGTCACCCCATAACTCTGCCTGGCACGGTACGCCCGGTTCTAACGGAGACCGCCGGCCCCCCATCCCGATAGGATGCTCCCAGCTCCTTGCCCGGCGGCGGGAAACGCAGGAGTCGGCGCGTTACAACCTGAGGGGACGTCGCGTAACCTGGAAAAAACGAAAGGAATTGGGAAGTGCGGGATCCGGGGCTGCGACCCCGCCTCCCCGCCCGGGAGCGCCGCGGCTGAGCCCCCTCTCGTCCGCGGGCCGCCGCCTCAGCCCGCCCCGGCCCGCACCAATCAGCGCGGCCAGCGGCACTCGGGCCCGCCCACTCCTCCGCAGACAGCCAATCAGACGCGAGGCCGGCGGCGCGCACAGCCGTTGTCATGGCTCCGCTCGCCACTTCCGCCGCCGTCAGTTCCGCGGCGATGGCGGCGCTGCGCGGGCGGGCGCTGCTGGCCCCGCTCGGAGCGCGGCTCAGGGCCGGGCCCCGCGCCCCGTTCCGCTCTGCCGCCTCTAACCCGCCGCTCTACGATGTGGTGGTGTCGGGCGGGGGCATGGTCGGGAGCGCCATGGCCGCCGTGCTGGGTAAGGCTGTGACCCACTCTCCCGCAGGGTGAGGTAACCGTGTATAGGATCTCAGTGTCTGGGGCCTGCTGAGGGGTCCTTGATCCTGCTCTAAAGTTCACCTGAGGCTGTTTGGTGAGCCGGTCAGTGATGAGCCAAGCCATATCTCTGTGTGTGCACAGTGTTAATGGGGCCGTTAACTGGAGTTTTATAGACTGTAGTGTTTCTGTCAAATATGCTCATCCTTAAATAGCTGATGGATAATGTCACCCTTAGCTAAAATGCTTTTCTGATTATAGAATCACAGAATGGGTTGGAAGGGACCTTAAATATCACCTAGTTCCAACTCCCTGTTGTGTGCAGGGACACCTTCCATAGACCAGGTTACTCCGAGCCACATCCAGCCTGGCCTCAAACACCTCCAGGGTTGGGACATTTACAGCTTCTCTGACATTTACAGCTTCTCTGAGCAACCTGTTCCTGTGTCTCGCCATCCTCACAGCAAAGAACTTCTCCTAATATCTAATCTAAGTCTACTCTCTTTCACTTTGAATCCATTTCCCCTTGTTCTGTCACTACATGATCTTGTAAAAGTCCCTTTTTGTCTTTCTTGTGGGCTCTCTTGAGGTACTGTAAGGCCACAATTCAGTCACCCCATAGCCATCTCTTTTCCAGGCTGAATAAACCCAATTCGCCCAGTCTTTCCTTGTAGGAGAGGTGCTCCATTGCTCTAATCATTATTATCTGATCCCAAGTTTCATTCTCTAACCCAGTATTTTAAACACTGGAATACCAAGTTAAAATGGATTTCTGCTTGCTTTGTGTCATTAGAGATCCTGAGAGTAGTGGGTGCTCCTTTATTTACAACATGGATTCAGAAGGGTGCAGTAGTGACAGAAACGTGAAAAAAATAGTGCCCAGAAGATCAAAGATGCTGAGCAATAATAAGTGCTTTGCAAGTATAAGGGCTTACCTTGCAAGCTTAAGTTCTGCTTGTATTGTTAAACAAGAGCCCAGTGGATTTGAGATGGCATAAGGATCTCCTCCAGCAGTGGTACCTAAGGCTGACAAGCAGGTTTGGGACCTCTCAGGAGATGAGGTTATTACTGTGCATAATCTAGAGATTATGCCTAGGACACTGCTGTCTCTAGGGCTGCTGTAGTAGTAAACTCTAGATGATGAAGGACACCACTTCTGTCCTCCATGCCTTCTGCATCTGTGGTGGTTGGGATGCTGCAGGTGTGGCCAGCTCAGCTGCAGGGTTTTTTACACTTTACTTGAGTCTTCTTTTTCTTTAGAGTTCTCTTTATGTGGAAGTTTAAAGTCTAAACTGCCTGTGCTATTCCATTGTCAGAATGAGAGGACAGGGAAAATATTAATGTAATTGCTACATATCACAGAAGTTTTATTTTGATCTCTTCTTCTATAAGGAGAATTTATGTTTAAGCTCTGGAAAACATGTTCTGGAGTAAACATTGAGTAAATATTGCAGATTTCACTTGATAATACTCCAGTAATAAATTTTCATTTGTTGTCCATCTCAGTAACAGGACTGTAGTCATAAAGCTTTAACATACAAAAGTTTACTTGCCTGGTCAAAACCTGTACTGTCTATGTAGTTCTTTATTAAGTGTTGCATCTACTGTGTCTTATTACAAAAACTCAGGTGTTTTGTTTTTGAGATTTTTGGCAGGAGCATTGTAACAAAACATGTATTTGCTTATTTTAGGGCATGACATCCACTTCCATGATAAAAAGATTGCTTTGCTGGAGGCTGGTCCTAGGAAAGAATATGATCACATGCCAGACAGTTACAGCAACAGGGTCAGTTCCATCTCCCCAGGATCAGCTACCCTCCTAAGCAGTAAGTATGATTTTGTTGTTTGCATTTTTAACATTTATATTTGAGCTGGTTTTGTTGAAACAAAAACCCTTTTGACTATGTGTTGCCTTCAACCTAACATCATTAGCATTATTTGCCTTTGTCTCTACATGCTGAGTTGTGGTTATTAAATCCAAATTCTCTTGATAACAAGGATCTGTGTTCTGGTATCTTGGTCTGATTTGTTATCATATAAATATTTGTGACTTTAGGCAGTGAAAGGTTGTAAGGTGCTCTCTACAGCACCTGGAATGTTCTATTCACAAAAGAAGCTTAATGCTTTGTAGTCTGGTAACTCAGTCCTCAATTAATGAGGATTAATTGTCATTTTAAAGAGATATTTGAGCCTTGATTCCTTTTGGAGAAAGAAATGTTCTTTACAATAATGGCTGTGCATTTCTACGTCTGTTTTATTACCCAGTGATGGAACAGTGAGAGCTGTCTGTTAGGTCAGAGGCTCATGGAGAGCTCTTGTTTCTTTCCTGCTGGCTTGTGTTAACAGTAAAACAATGTGATTCTGGAGCTGTGATAGCACCGAGGCAGACCTGGCACTGTCTAGGGAAAGTGCAAACCAAGCCTGAGCATAGTCAGGGAAGAGTGGAGGAGAGTGTGGAGTGAGCTTCAGTTTAGTTTTGGTTTCAGTGTCCCATGTGAACCTGTATCTCTGTGTATTTCTGTCCTTTTTCTGTTTCAGGTTGTGGTGCCTGGGATCACGTCTGCAGCCTGAGACTCAAACCCTTCCGGCGAATGCAGGTGCCTTAGGGCTGCAGATACACCTTGTGTCTGTCTACTCTGAATTCTCAAAAGTACTTGCATCAATGACACAAAGGTTTTTATTTCTATGGTAAAGGGCAGGTCATACTTATGTTCATTTCTGTCTCTTTTCTGTGGGTAGCAGTCTGCTCAGAAATACCTGTCCTCAGGGCCTTGATGTTACAGGCTGAAAAGTGGATTCCTAGTGGCAGCTGTAGATAGTGAGGCTTGGGTATTAGCCAGGAAATAAAGGTAAAGGGTGTATTGGTTTGGCTGGGATAGAGTTTCTTCTCTTAATGGTGGCTTGTATGGGACGGTGTTTCAGATTTGTGTTGAAAACTGTTGATAACACAGGGATGTTTTAGCTGTTGCTGAGCAGCACTTAGTGCCAAGGCTTTCTCACACTGTCTTGCCAGTGAGCAGGCTGGGAGTGCACAAGAAGCTGGGAGGGTACACAGGCTGGACATATGACCCTGGCTGATAATCCATACATACCATATGGTGTCATGCTCAGCAATAAAAGCTGAGGAAAAGAAGGAAAGATGGGAAGTTTGGAGGGATGGTGTTTGTCTTCCCAAGTAACTATTATGCTTGATGGGTCCCTGCTCTCCTGGAGATGGCTAAACACCTGCTTGTCCTTGGGAAGCAGTGAATTAATTCCTTGGATTGCTTTGCTTGAACATGTGGCTTTTGCTTTTCCTATTAAACTGCATTTACCTCAAGCTATCAGTTTTGTACTTTCATCCTTTCAGTTTTCTTCCCCATCTCAGTGCAGGGGAGAAAGGAAGCAGCTGTGTGGGGCTGAGCTGCCCGCTGGGGTTAACCTACAGCAAGGCTGTAGCATAGCTTCCTATGTCAATTATGTAACAGAAAAGTAGGGATGAAAAACTTGACTTGGAATTACTTTTTGAGCTTAAGCTAAATCATTTAATGAAATTAGTTATGTGGTGCACTTTAGTAGCTGGGAATGAACAGTAATCCAGGATGTTTCGTCTAGTTCTATATTTCTAGATTACCATGTCTTTTTGCTGTTAAGTCCCTGAAATGGACTTCTTTATCACATAGCTTCATGTAATGTATTTTTTCTTCGTAGGTGTGGGATGCTTGTTCAGAAGCCATGATCGTTTTTGAGAAAGATGACTTAGATGACATGGGTTACATAGTGGAGAATGATGTCATTATGTCTGCTCTCACGAAACAGTTAGATGCAGTAGCAGGTAGAGAACAACTTCTTCAATGTTTTATTTCCTGCAGATAGCTTTCAGTTACTTGCCTTCTATTGTGTGCTAGGTATTGAGAGGGAGAAATTTGTCTAACAAGTAATTCTTGAGAAATGGGCACCTTCTGGAATTGGGAAGGAGGGAGAAATCTGACTTCCAAAGGCTACAGAACAGGAAAGCACTTGGATATGTAGTTCTCCAGAATACTTCAAAATTGGACTTAATTAAAAAATCTGTACCTCCTTGTCCAGAGCAGGCCTTACAGTGACAAGGGGTTGTCCATATCTGGTTTTTTGGGGTGCCTTGAGAATTGTAGAGTGAACTCCTAGGGTGCTGTTAAGACACCTGCATGGCCTTGGCTGTTGTAGCAATGTTTCCTTTTCCCTGTCCATGTTGTGCTGTGACCATGGTACTCTGTGTTCCCATCAGACCGGGTGGAGGTCTTCTACAGGAGCAAAGCAGTTGGGTACACCTGGCCCCTTCCTTCCCATGGCTGTGACACAAGCCCTTGGGTCCAAGTTGAGTTAGCTGATGGACGCAGACTTCAGACCAAGCTGCTGGTAACTAAGCTCTTTATTTCTGTTGATAAGGCATCATCTCTAACCCAAGTCCTTTCCACTGGTTTGGTTCCAATTCCATGTGTGCCACTCCACCCATGTGGAGTGCTAGAGTGACATGAGTGGCTAGCCCTGTCTATGAGGGTGTGGGACACTGGGCATGGCCTTCTCTCTGCCTGCTGCAAGGAGATGCTGCTGAATTTGAGGAGAGCAGAAGGGGCCACCTCTTCTGGTTTTGGGGGGATTTTTTTTTTCTGAATAAGCAGACAATATACAGATGCAGTCTGAGGTTTTTAGAGTGAAATACTAGCTCCTAATGTTTCTAGGAGCTGCTGAAGAAGTTGCTGTGCATCTCTTTGTTTTACAGATTGGTGCAGATGGTCATAACTCTATGGTCCGGAAGGAAGCTGAAATTAAGAACATTGAACATCAGTATGACCAGTCAGCTGTGGTGGCAACTCTCCATTTATCTGAGGTAAAATTCTGCTAAACTAACTCTTCCATAAGCAGTAGAACCTGAGGGTGATCTGGCTTGCTGCCCACTTGCTTCTTTCCACTATAGGCCACAGACAACAATGTAGCATGGCAGCGGTTCCTTCCCACAGGGCCAATTGCGCTTCTTCCGGTAAGGTGTTAGTATTTTTTAAATGTTTTTAAAAATTTTTGTAGTCTAGTAACTTTATTTGTGTCCATGCCTTTCTGTGTTGGTTCTGTCTCTTAAGAATTTGCACATCTGCCCTTCACTTTTCATTTATTACGTTTTCCCCTCCTGCTGTTTTATTCTATCCTTGGCGTTTCCCACTTTTAACAAGTTGGGCAGGAACTGTAATTTTCAGAGGGACTGACAGTGTGAGGCAGGGCAGTGGAGAAGTCTTTGCACTGAATGTTTATTTTTGTTTCTTTTTCTCTTAATATTTACCCTTTACATTCTCTTAAACTAGCTGTCTGACACTGCCAGCTCTCTGGTCTGGTCTACATCTCATGACCATGCATCGGAACTTCTTGCCATGGATGAGGAAAGTTTTGTGGATAGCATCAACTCTGCCTTTGTGAGTATCAGCCTCATGGCAGGGAAGAGGCTTTAAGAAATAGAACAGAATTCTGTAGCTAAACAACAGTAATGGGAGAGGTGCATTCTGAAGTTCCTTCCTCTGGCAAGAATGATATTAAAGAGGCACTTAGCAAAGAAAAGATGATCCCTTGGGACTGAATTAGGTTAGTTCTGAAAGTCACAGAAGTTAAATTTCCAAAAGGTAGGAAGAGTAGGCTCATCCTAGTTGGAAATTTGTATGTCCTAAAATGGTGAAGATAGTTTTTTCTACTGTATAGTTTTGTCCAAGTGGTTAAAATTCAGTATTGGAACTCAGATTTTTTTTTTTCAACTGGGTTCTTTTATGGGTCTAGTTTGGGTCAGCTTCCAAAGATTTGTTTGTCTGTTTCAGTGGAGCAACATAAACCACTCTGACTTCATTGACACTGCTGGGGCCATGTTTCGTTCTGCCATTTCGCTGCTGAAGCCCTCAGGGACTGCAGTCCGTCAGCTGCCCCCAAGTGTTGCTGAGGTGGATGCAGGGAGCAGAGCCATGTTCCCCCTGGGGCTGGGCCACGCCACAGAGTACGTCCGGCCCCGCGTGGCTCTCATCGGGTAAGGTGCTCAGCGCCGCCCTTGGGTGGGCGGGTGGCACGTGGTTAGGAATGACCTGAGGACAGCAGGCTCCCGACAACAAATAGATGTTAGAAATGATACATTGTTCCAGTCTGACTTTACCCAGATCCGGTTTGTTCTGTGTGCCCTCCTGTCCTTTTCTATGAGTAGCTGTCTGTCCATTATCTCTGCTGTCTGTGTAAATTGAAAGATAATTATTTCCCTTTCCTGGTTTGTACAGTCTAGTGAAACAATCCAGTATCTCATGCTGGATCTGTACTTCCCCTTACATTATACCAGCCATTCTGAGCACCACTTTGAGTTTTTAATTCACCTTTTTTGAACACAAATGACAACAATTACTCCATGTGGGATGTCAGAGACTTTTATATGGTGGCCTATTCAAACAGGAAAATACCTCATTTCTTATATTCTAAGGTCACATGTATACTTTCTTCTCTGCCCCAGCTGCAGTATGGTGGTAACTTTCAGTAATTCTTGGATGCTGTGCAAAACTTTTGTTTAGTGCACTTTTCATCTTACCAACCTATGAACCACTCTATGCTTGGGAGCACGCTGTGCTTTATAGCTTGGTAAAGCACATGATCTTGCATTTCATATCAAAACTTAATCTAATTTCTTTTACTTTGTGACTCCCACAGCAATGTTTGTCTTTGAGCTTTACAGATAAGTCTGTTCATAGAAGAGCCTGATTTTGTTTCTATTCAATGATAATCCCACCACTCCTTTATACTCACTTTGTCTGTCCACTTTGTGTTTGTGCAATGTGCCATTGACAGAGCTCCTGTTGTGCTGAGGTCACTTACAAAAACATAAAGGCCTGTTCCACATGTAACTGAGAGGACTTTGGCTAGTCACCTCTTTATAATTTTTCCTTTCAGACGTGCTTTTTGTTACCTCCCCTATGTCTTGCTTCTTACAACTGGAGAGGCAGTCAGGTAGTTCAGCATAGCATGCAAGGAGGTACTGGATAAAGCGCATATGCTGCTCTAAGGTGGTTCATTGCAAAGAGGTGAGGAGTGCTACACTGATCCCTTCTGGGGTTTGTCAGCCACTGTGGCTTTCTCCAAGAAGGGAAATAAATTTCTGTCTTCTCTTGCTCCAGGGATGCAGCACACAGAGTCCACCCACTTGCAGGACAAGGAGTGAACCTGGGCTTTGGTGATATTGCATGTTTAGCTCATCACCTCAGTGCAGCAGCCTTCAACGGGAGCGATCTGGGTAAGGCTCCAAGCCAGCATTGGGGCAGTAAAGGATTAGTCTCCCAGGTCTTTGCTGCAGTACCTGTGGTTAGCATGCTGCTGTCCTGTGTTTGAAAGCTTTGTTGAAGTGAAGCAGTTCATGATTCTTGGATGCAGTTTCCATCCCATGAATCTTAAAGCTGCTTTAAAAAAAATCAAGCTCTGCAGGATGGCAGTTAGAGATGTGGTGAGATGAAGAGCACTAGCTGGTGGAAAGAGGTCTTTATTGAGATGAACCATTTCTGTTCTCTTTCAGTTCCCAGAGGAAACTGCTCTATAGATAAGATGCACAATTGTTTGTGGCACATCAAGGGTAATAGAAACATTCAATTATCTCTTCCAGGCTCCTTAAAACACCTCCTCAAGTTTGAAACAGAACGTCAGAGGCATAATGTCTCCTTGTTAGCTGCTACTGATGTGCTAAAAAGGCTGTACTCTACCACACTGGCTCCTCTGGTGTTGCTGAGGACATGGGGATTGCAAGCAACAAATGCCCTGCCTCCTGTCAAAGTAAGGATCTCACTTCAGTGAGGGCTGTAGGAGTTGTCCAAAACTATTCATGAAATATGCACAAGATGTAAAGATCTTTGTTTGTTTAAAATGAAACATTTTTGGTTGGAAAATACTATTTTAAACTGGGGGGTTTGTGTCCTGAATGGGCCTGAGGAGTTCCTAAACAACTGATGACTCAGTAGAGACTTTTTTTTCCTCCCTCCAGCACAAGGGATATAAAAGATCTAAGTGTCTTATATTCTGTATCAGTAATTAGGAGTTAGAGGTCATCAGAAATCTTTGGCTTTATTTTGCTGTGGAATTAGTGTCAAACCTTGAATTGTATTCTAGCAATGCACAGAGAAAACAGGCCTGTCAAGACACATCTTCACTAAGAGATTGGGTGACTTCCCAGATGCAGTGTGCAGCCTACACTTAACTGTTTCTGTGCTGTTTTGCCTTGTGAATTGTTCCCTCATGGCAGAAGTTCAAGTTTCTAAAATGGAAATTACCTGAGGAAGGCTGTGGTGAGGAGTTTCTGTCTTAGACCCTCTGTTTGCAGCCCATCTGCCTGAACTTCTCACCCTCTTGACCTAGTTGCTGGATTTTTGTGAGGTTCTTTAAGCCCTCTGCTCTCAAAGCTCCCAAGCACCAGCAAATTAGGTTCTCATCTTTGGATTTCAATTTTTACTTCATTTATTCTCCATCTTTATATTAAACACAGGTGCCCTGTTTCCTTTGTGTCATGGTCACAGTTGAGACACTTCCTCAACTAAAAATCAGTACGTGCCTAAGGCAGAGCAGCTGCCACAGGTCCACTGTCTTCATTAAGGAAGACTATGCTGCTGCTTCAGTGCTCACTAGTTTCTTTTCTCTTTCTCTGTTTAAAAGAAAAAAACAATTGAAGATGTCTTTTTCTGAGCACAGAACCCATTGGTAATACCAGTTTTGTACTACTTGGGAAGGACAGGAATGCTACAATTTTGTTAATTTTCTACGACAGGGATAGGTTCTCTGCGTGTGGCTAGAAAGACTGTCCAAGAACTGTTGTTCATTTATATGAATGGGAACGTGCCTAAAGGTTCTTTCTAAAACACATACTTATGAATTACTTCTCTTTTTCTTTTAGGAGCAAATCATGGCTTTTGCCAGCAAGTGATCTGTTGTCAGTCTGCCTGTCAGTCAGCAGCTTGCCTATGAATGCCTTGCCCTTAAAAGGACTGTGACTTACTTGAATCTTTGAACTTTTATTTTAATTTACAATAAAACTGAGGGATTGAGCTGTGTATTACACCATCCACTGGTTTATGCAAAAGCTGTCACATTTGCCCTCCTCAAGAGGATTTAAGGTTTCTTCCCTTAGTACCATGATGTCTTCAGCCACAGAACTAAGTATAGTATGTGCTTTTAATCTGGGCCTCCTGAATTGAAGATTGAGGTGCAAACAGCTGTCTGTCTTTTGACAAACACAGTGCTGAATTTTGCAAACTGCTGGCTAATTTTTAACAGCTTTTGCTGCTTAATTACTTTCAGTTTCTTCTGATATGATTACTAGAGCTGTAACATCACTCCTGGCTTCTTGGCACCTCAGCTCAGACAGAAGGGGTAGTTTGCAGCAGAGAGAAACAACACATGGTAGCAGATATATTTTAAAACTCTCTCTGTTGTTCTTTCACCCTTTCCCCTGCCTTTCTCTTGGTGCTTTATTTAATAATGGTGTTTCTTGTGGAACTGGCCAAGGGCTCCATGGAAAAGATACAAGGCAACAATAATATCCAGGAAAGAAAACTATGCCACAACATCTTCAATATTGTTAAAAATGCTTTAATTACTAAAATAGACAATTCAAGATATTCTGTCTTCGGTTCCAAACACCAGCCTCTTGCATTACACATTTGCCACTCACAGAATTAAACTAAGCACTGCCCATGGGCAAGATTTACACATATGGGTGACCAGTATCAGAAGTGAACATCAGAAAGAATGAAACCTAAGTTTTGAAGTGAAAGCTATTACTTGTGCTTCTGCAGTCACTCATATTAGGCAGTCCTTGTTAGTGTCTGGCTCAAAGACATTACAAAGGAGGAGATAAAAATCAGGGCTGCAAGTAGAGCTCTTCTCTTAAAAGGCTGCTTACTCTTTAGTTTAGGTAATAAATAATCTCATTGCACTAGGGTAAGTGTGAGGACTTGACTGGGTTGTCCAGATCCCCCACCCACTTGGGTTCAGATGTAAACAGCAGGGGCAGGGCTCAATTCTGCAAATTCTTGCAAAAATAAACCTTTTAACAGAGTTTTTGTTTCTCCCATAACTGAAGGATCATGCCAGTAACAGAGAGCAGAAGTTCTGCTTCAGTTAATGAATTGTGCCACTGACAAATGAAGGCCCTGAGCATTCAGATTAAATGCAACTTTGGTACTGGGAATCAGATGCTATCCCCTAGCATTTGTAGTACCAGAGTCTGAGGAAAAGAATGCAGAAAAAACAACTTCCTCTGCATGGTACCCTTCTTCTAGCCCCTCCTTGCTTTAGACAAAACCCAGCCCTCAAGCCCTCCTCAGGGCTGGTGTGTTTTCAGGGGGCAGATAACGCTGCTGCTTTTCCCTTAGGTAGAGCATCCCACCTTCAAAACACAGCCTCACTGCTGCCAGCTCTTAGCCCCAAGATCCAGTAAGAGTTTGTCATAGCACTGGCTCAGACTGAAAGATGATTTCTGGATTATTAAATTAGCTTGTTCTCAGGTAACACGGCCTGGCCAGTAACCACTGCACCCTACTTTGTATTTTCTGAGAATACAGAAATGTTCACTGAAGACATAATGAATGCATTTGCAGTCACCTTGTTCTGCAGACCAGACCATATACCAAGTTTTCACAATGGTAGGAAGAGGAATAAGAAATGTTTATGGTTGAGAAGAGGCTGCAATTACTTCCTTCATGTTTAAACAGAAACTTCTAGAGAGGAAGGAACAGAACTTTGGTGTGACACAGGAATTTCTCAATGTAGATCTCAAAAAGATTCTGGTAAGGACCCACACATGCAGGATGAGCATGTCCTGTTTCAAAAAAGCAGCCTGAATTTATGGCAAAGTGTCAGTGATGAGATAAGTATGGACGGCTCCATCTGCAACCCTTGGCTTCTTGTTGCTGACTGAACTTGTTCAATCAAAAGCATGCCTTGCACCCTCGTGCTGTAAAACCTGAGATATGAGAAGCGGTAGCTTAATCAGCCACAGGCAAACTTGCACTGCTAACTAGAGGAGAAGAATTAATGTTCACAGTAAGGCAAATTTCTAAGTCTCCAAACTGTTTGGCAAGACCATTGAAGACATGAGTGCATGATTTCCTCCCCTTGCTGAGAATTACCAATTATTTTCAAATCCAGTTTGCAGAGAAGGCAGTGTGAGGGCAGTCTTTGGTTTGACAGAAAGGTGTTTTAGAGCAACTGGGACACTTGGGTAACTGCAACTGCCCACCAGGGAAATGTTCATAACAAGACATCAGTGGCTAGAAGTTTCCCTTAGTCACATGAGCAATACCTCTTTGTTGTGATGGGGTAAGTTCATCTGTACCTTACACATTCCTTGAAGAGGTGAAGACAGTAGCAAGCTGCCAATTATTTCATGGGGGGGGGGGGGGGGGGAAGACATCTCTACAGCTGTTTTTACTTAGGGCAATGGATGGGTTTTAAATGGGAGACCACACCTTAGAGCTCACTCCAGCAAAAGGGACTGTGGTGCTCAGACCTCTTGCTGGCCCAGCAGGCCTTGCTGGGCTGTGCCCTGCCTGCTGTCCTTGGGATAGCACCAGACTTGACTCTTGGGTGAGCACCACCTCAGGTCAGGTGTCCTGATTCATACAGAACCTGAGGAGCACCAGCAGCAGAGGGAAGAAGGCTGTGGATGTGCCTTGCTGAGAGCAGAGAAACAGAGCTGGCTCTCACAGCAAAGTGAGCTGTCAGATCAGCCATTTCATCTGACTGCAATCTCCTTGTGGGTGGCATATGACAAGCTCATCTTCTGGCAGTTTCAATAGCTGGCACTGCTGCCTCGTTGTGCCAGCACAACTATGTGTTATGACTACATGCTAAATGAATAAATTTATCAAGTCTGGTAGTCAGATGTATGGTGGAGCTGCACAGACTTGGAAAGTGCAGCAAAACTGAAACACAGGCACACATTCTGCTTAGGAAATGCCTACTGCCTAAAAAAAATGCTTGGTAAATGACTGTTTTAGCCAGCACCTTTCCCAAAACCATGCCCAAAGTGTACTTACAGCAGGCCCTTGAAAGACTGGAATATTCTTGCCATGTATTTGCTAAGCTAGCAGCTGGATTTTTGGAACACTGAGGTTGGCAGCATCCAGTTGTTCACTTTTCTCTGCATCACTGTTGATGCTATTCCTAATTTCTGTATTTAACATCTCACAAGCAAATTTAAGTTATTTATGGTTAAAATAGAAGGGGGTAGGGGAAGTCATGTGTCTGTAGTCTGCCACCACATCCAGGAACTCTGTGCTTCTAACAAACTTGCTGGTGAAAGCTGGTTTTGAGCCCCTTGCTTATTCTCTGCTGGAGTTTAGACCTTTTGACTTTCTTAAGGCAGATTCTGGATAATTTATGGCAATCACAGTTATAAATCATACTCTCATTAGGCACAATGCCAATCCAGGGTAAAGAGCTGTCATATATTTTTGGTCCATGTTCTGCTCTGTGACCAGTCCAGCTGAACACCATACCTGGAGATTGCAATTCACTTTCTCAGCATTTTCAGAAATGCTGAAGTCCACAGCAGTATCACAAGTCAATAAGTCATCCCCAGAGACTGCAGCAGGTAAAAGGTAGCACCCAAAGTCCAGCTTGTCTCTATGTTGTTTACTTTCTTTGTCAACTATAAAGGAAGAAAAACAAGTTATTCCTGACAGTTCTCTAGATTCATAAGTTACACAAATGACAGCAACTACATGTTACAAATCTGGAAAGATTCAGTAGATAATTAGTCAGAAAGATGAAGTAATGCATGTTAGTCAATAGGGATTTAACTGTTTTTTCTCACCTTTAAGACTGTGTTGTCCCTAAATCCAAACCCTTCCTTTAATAAAGCAGCGATGTAAGTGAGATCCATGCAGAGGAAAGGGCTGGCTGAGTTGTACCTCTCCATGTTATCACAGACTAGAGAAGGAAAAAAGAAAAAACAAAAGGGATCTCAGCAAAATAAGAACTTTTATCCACATTGTACATTTGAACTGAACTCAAGCCAAAGTTTACTAAAACAAGCCACCCTCTTCTATTACTGGTTATGCATGACACATGGTACACACTACAAAGCTGTTCTACAATGTTGGGAGTACATCCAGTTTCTCTTAACTACATCAAAACTACATCTTTTATTACAGCAACATAATCCACACACAGCTCTTTTGAAGAACCTCTGCTCAACTGATAACTAGCAGGGTGTTGGATTACTTATTTTTTCAGGAACACAGCATCACTTGTTTTCATCATCTCTCCTCCATGGATGGAGCCAGTAATGGATTCCACTTTCTAGGATGGCAGTTTATGTTTTCCAACCACACTTGGCTAAGGAAATGGAAGAGGCTATTGCCCAACCACCCACTCCCTTGCTGCAGCTAAGTCAAGATTCCATAGTCAGGGTGACAGTGACTGGGAAATGTATTTACACTAAGCATCATTTTCTAGACCTACTGTCACTGCCCTGTTCTACCAGCAGCAAGAGCAGAGTTCACTTCCTCCTAAGAAAAGATAAGCAGCATCCTTCTACTATTGAAATGAGATAGAGAAGAATTAGTTCAGGCTCACAGAATTGATCTCCTGATGGCCTAAAGCTAAGTAAGTGGTTTGATAATGTTAGGTAACATCTTAGCTACGTCTTTGGAAATAAGCTCTCTCACTATCCAGGGAAAAAATAACAACCAACCCACACTCAAACTTTAGAGCCTAATCCCCCTATTCAAAGTCATCCAAGTTTCCAGGGAGATTAAGTTTAACTGAAAAATCATTAAAATTTAGGCCTTATTTTAGGAAAAAAGTCTGTCCTGAACTACGTAATTGAGCATCTTCTGCTGAAAAATATGGTCTTCTCATTGTCTTGAGAATGATCACAGTACAGAGGTAATTTGCTTTTAGCTATCAGCAGCCAGGCAAGGTGGGAGCTCTTTATCCACAGGAGATACAAAACTAGAACAAGCATTCAGGAAAAAAGACAGGGGGAGGTAAAGGAATGTGGAAGAGGTTGCCAGTCTTAAAAACCCTCTCCCTCCATTTTGTTAGAGATTAAATAGGATTTAATGTGACAGACTTACAGAATTCAGTGCTCTCTTAAACTCAGAGAGTTGCAGTTTGACAGGAGCTCTTGATGCAGCAAATTCATTTTCTTTTGTAGTGACTCTATGAACTACCTCCTTCTCCTGAACTGAGCTGTAAATCCACCAACCCCTCACTGCTCTATCAGTATTATCTTCTGCATTAGTTAGAGTCTTTGACTAATAAAAGTAACATGACAGGTGTAAGTGCAATAAAGGTTAAATAAATTTGCTTTTCTTCCAAGTCACATTATGTGCTGCCTACACATTGATATTTTTGTTATTTCTTGCCCAAACCAGTTTCCCAGCTTATTACAATTACCTTCTTTGGCTTTTCTTTCAAAATCTCTCACTTCCAAAACACCTCCGCGTTCATAATCTGAAAAAGATGTGAGAAAACATCATCATAGACCTGACAGCATTTGAATTCTTTATCCAAGTTGACCCTAGAGTGCAACTCAGGGATGCTGCACTAGGAGTGAGACCTGCTTGGAACAGAAGACAGAGCTGCAGGTGTGACTGGAGCCCGGAGCTTATTTCATGTGCTGAACACCAAACTGCAGTGACAGATAAAAGTCATTCCCTCGAGGCATTTTGTGTATCTCCTCTTTCTCAATAACATTGCTTTCTTCTGCTCCCCATGGCTCCAGCCACCAGGTTCCTCTGTCTACCTTCTGGAAGACATGCTCACATGTAGGAGATTATCCCAAATTTACCGATTAGGTTGGTGTCAGCTGCTCGATCATAGTAATAGGAGAAAGCATAGAAGGAACTTCCACGAATCTCCTCTGGTTGGTGAAGTTTCCCTTTGACAACCTTAAGTACTTCCAAGTAGCAAGGCTTGAATCCTGTTTCTCCTGTCAGGAAAAACACAGACTGGGTGAGCCAAAGAGCATATGCAAGAGATGGAAGAAATAGTGGCAACAGGATGAAAAGTTAAAGAAGCAGAGGTTAAAGCATCAGAACAAGAGCTTACATATCCCCTCTGCAATCCAACATGGCACCTACACACAGGCAAGGACTAAAAGCCCCTCATCAAGGAGAATTTGTTAGAGCAGATCACTGCTGGGTCTGAAAGAAGGGCCACACAAACTACTTCCATGTCAGGCAAAACTCCCATTGACACGTTCTGTGGCCAGCCGAATCTTCTACATTTGCTCCCACTTATTAGATAAAACCTTGCTTTCTCTCCCCAGCCCACTGTAATTTTACCAACCTACTCCACACACATGAAATCTGCAATTCAGCTCTCATGTCTCCAGTCTGTTCAAGTCTATGATGGCAGCAGACTCACCCTCTCTACACAGCATTAGAGACTTATTGTTATTAGAGACTTAAGAAACAGTTCCACAAGTGAGATTAACTGGTAGGCCAAAATGTTTGTACCCTAACACAAACAGAATTTTTGCACTTTGCTCAAAGCTTCACAAAAACCTCTCTTATTTGCACAAGTAATTCTAAACATCCTATAAAGGTATGATTTGTAACAAGAGATCACAGTCAGAGGACAGGGGTACAGGTCAGCTACTCTTACAGCTTCAGATTTTAATCTGGATTTCTCAGAAATCAGCCTTTGCAACTGGACAGATATCCTTCATATCCCAAACATCATCGGTTAACTGAGGAAATATTTGACAAGGAAAAACTCAGATTTCTGGAGATAAGATTTATTGTAAAAGAAACAAGTCTCCTTAATTTACCTTCTTTGTTGCCACCATACTGATATTTCACTCCCCCGAAGTGCCACTCTGCCTCCAACTGCTTAGGCAAACAAGAACTGCGGAACATTTGTCCATCCACAACTGGAAAGAGAGCAGAGAGGAGAGTCAGGAAGCACAGAATTTTACATAGCTATAAATCAATAGCAGAACCAGAAAAGGCTGAAAGATCTTCATTAAAGTCTTTAAGTGAAAGTACAAAAATCTGAATTGATGCATGTGGCACTAACTGATTACAAATGAAAGACCAGTCTCAAGTCTGGAAAAGTTGTAAAGTTGTGTCTGTTTTCTCCTGCAAACAGCAGAGCAGCCACGCTTGTCATTTTTTAATGAGATAAATGGTACAAAGGTATCTGGATAATGGCTATTCACCACAAAAGACAAGAAATGAGAGGTGATAAACCCACAGATGCACAAACCCTAATGACAGCAGATAACCAAGACAAACAAAGCAACTGAGCAATGAAGACAAATGATCTCCTAAGACAGAGATCAATTGCCACTACAGGATCCACTGAATGTAACCTTTGAGGGGTTCAACCAGAAATACTGTAACTGATAAGAAAAGATGATTATTGCTGCACACACAGGTCTCACAGAAAAAGCAAACTTCTAACAGTATGCTTGAGGCAGACTCTGGGACAGCAAAATTTGCTATGAGATGCTTAGGGAAAGGCTCAAAGGCTGAGAAAAGGGGGAATTAAGGGATTAGGGAAGTGCAAGTATGGCAAACCAGAGGAGACTATAAAACAAGACAGTCACAAGTAAGCAGGTCCATGTGTTTTTCTGTCTGAGCCTTGTGACCAATCATTGTAGTCTGTCCTATCTTCTTCTCAATCCCTACTCCCAACTATTTCTGATTTGAGTACATTCCAGTAATTATCACAAGTCCATCTAGCTGTCAAGTCAGAATCCAGAAGGTGGAAAGACCCCAGTTCCTGGCCAGAGACTAGACAAAAGGCCCAAGCTCTGGGTGAGGGACTGACTCAGGAATGTGAGTATGCACTCAGGTTACTGAGTGAGAGCACGTGATGTGCTCCTGGGCTTCCATCTAGACTAGGGCAGTGCACACAACAGGTCTGGGGAGCACCACAGACCATGCAGATCCTTCAAAGTGGTTTGGCCTAAGCAGGAATCCTAAGGAAAAGGATCTGTTCGTGCTGCTCATGCTTCTGTGGATGTTTGTAAAGCTGTGAGTTTGTGGCTGGTCACGGTGTTTGTAGCTCCCACATGTGCACTTCTGGAATTTGCACTTGAATGTCACTGCTGGCTGATCTCAAAAACAGGGAAAAGCAGCTGTCCCACAAGACAACCCCTTAACAAGTGGTAGCTGTTTTCAGACAAACATATACCATCAGCAACGTAGAAAAGCACAAGATACAGAAGTGAAGACACACAGGAAATGGGCTGCTGACACAAGGCTAAGTCTAAGCATCTCTTCATAAATCTTGAATGTTTTAGTATATGAACATACCTTCCATGTTCAAAGCTCCAAGCGTTGCCAGTCTTGCAGCTTTTAGTCCAAACCCCAAATAGCTGTGAACAACAAAAGACAGATGTTATAGTCTTGATTCCTGCACATCTGGTATGCTTTACCCATAGCCCTCTTCCTAAGTCCTGGAACACCCAAACCAAATTTCCTTCCTCCGATTCCCAAAAGTTCTCTTTGCCAGAACAACCCTGAGGGCCCAAAGAGTGACACAAACCCAAGAAATACGAAGAGTTGTAAAATGGGTGAATCTAAAACTGCAGGAAGTGGTTAGAGCTGATGCATTTATACAAGATGATCATGAAAAGCAAAAAAGCACCACCTTAAAAATGAGGGAGGAAGAAGGGTAAGTGCTGAGTGCATGGGGAATAGGGCAGCCACTCTTATGCAGCACACACAAAACTATGTGCTCTTAGAGCAGAGTGCAGAACCTGCCACAAAATAGGAACTGTGGCTTTGTGTGAAATTCACCTGTTTTGACTTCACTGGTGACTGCTACATTCATTATAAGCTAGAATATGAACAATGCTTATGAGAATGTCATCACACATTGCAGCAACACAGCTAGATTAAAATCCTGTTGACCCTTTCACTCCCATCTCTGTGTTTGGCCACTTACCACTTTTGTCATGTCATTTTAAACATTTCCAGAATATTCAGAGTTAAACTAACCTCCAGCTCTCTCTCAACTTTTAGGAGATGATTTCTCAATCCCAATTATTTTAGGTGATCTAATGGACTGTATCAATGACAACAGCAATTAGTTACATCAGCAAATGTAAGGAGTAGGAGAGAATGACTATTAGACCAGCTCTGCTGTCAAGTAAGCAGATTCTATAACTGGCTGAGATGGTAATGCTCACTCCACTAAGTCTCAGGAAATCCTCTTTTCAAATCTGATCATTTTTAGTTCTGACTACTGGCACAATATCTACCTTTCTGCTTGTTTCAGAATATTTGGCTTGAATCCAGTATTAAGAATTCTTTTCCTTAAATATGGGCTTGCAATGCTGTCCCTTCATTTGAAAGACTGCCTAATACTCCCTTGCACTGACACGAACCATGATCCTGGAACGCTTCCAGCCAGCTAATGTCATGTTCCACTTCTACTGTTCCATGCAGATAAGTAGTAAAAAAGTCATGGTCTCTGCTGCTGGTACCAGGATGATGTGGCTGTTAGCTCAGGGGCTGATTTCCCCAGTGGAAATAGCAGTCTTTTGCTCCTCACCTGTGGGTATAGAGCTTGTACGTGCTATTAAACATTTCAAATGAGGTAAGAAAATCCTCAGGGGTTTCCTTCAGAGTTTCCTAGAAGTTAAGTAAAAGAAAAAAATGTTTTCGTTTATACTATGCAATAAAGAATAAGCAAGTTTAATGTAGTATCACAGATATACCCATACAGTTTACTGCACACTCATCTGACCTGCTTTGAAAACAAAGTACAGCTTTCCAATGCTGCCACTGCTGTAATATCTGCAGCTTTTAACACCAATTTTATTTATATGCATCTTTGTGCTACTTCAACGTATAACAGGGAAGCACAACAGATCAGGATGAAAACACTTTCTAATTCAGGTAACCTGAATTTTTTCAGAGTACTTACATGTTACTCTACATGTAGAGAGTCCCCATCCCCATTACCAGAAATCAGCTGCACTACAAGTGCTATGAACTTTTTCAAGTCATGCTAGGCACCTAAACTGAAGTACTCAGAAGAATTAAAAATATAAGGTATAGGCCCCATTTTCACCATGTCAAATGCCTTGCTGGTACTCAAGGAAACACTGTGACCACTCACTCCCAGTCTTAGGGCTGCTTCACCTAAATTAGCCTCTTGTCTCACCACCTCCAGTTTCTTCCTCTCAGTCTTCTCTCTGTGCACACCTCCATCCCCCTGGTACCCTGCCCTAGCTTCCTGACAGACTAACTCACACTCTTGCAAGGCTGAACCGCTTCAGCAATCATTTACTGATTCTTTGTGTCCCCTCCCTAAGCTCTCAGTTTCTGTCTCTCCTCTCCTCATGGCCCCATCCTCCCACCCCTTCTTGGCTCCATGCACTTTTATCACCCGTGGTTATTCTGGGCCAAGCAGCAGAGTCAGAGAGAACTGAAGCTTCACAGTCCTGCAGTTGCCATGCAAGTAAGGAGACCCAGATCTGAGTTATTTTTCCTAGAGTCCTAGACAGAAGCCTGCTCAAAGCTGAAAGGAATTTGACAGTATTCAGCTTGAGTGTCTCCTGAGCAAATACAAATCAAAATTTGTTTTGGGTCTCAAGTTGATTATCACTGAAATGGCAGTCACATCCTTGGCCTCATACACACATACTGCCATATTTTGAGCTCTGTTTCTAAACCTTACATCACAAAAACTATTTAAAGGAGAGATCCTCAAAAAAAATTAGTTTGGAAAAAACAATTGTCTTCTTTATGCCCTACTTTCACAAAAAATGAGGCAGACACCAGACAGACAATTTCATAATTACTATGATTGGTTTTCAGTTGCTTTTAGCTTTGGCAATAATGCCATGAAATTAAAATCAGTTCCCTGCAGTTGTCATTATATGTTCTTTACTTGCTTGTAATTAATATTTAATTAAAAAAATCTCTTACACTATTTTGTTCAAAACTAATACAAGAGCAAGCATGTGACTGCCTCAGATTGCAGGAAGGAAAAATCTCCACTGCAAATCAAAGGGACGTATCCCCACTAATTCTGTCAGATGGGAAAAACTCCCAAAAACATACTGAGCTTATTTATTTGAACTTGACAGCACAGGTGAGAAGCAGACATAGAGTACAAGCATGAACCTTGACTCCACACTGCCCTACAAATTCACACCATTAGTCCTAGTCAGCAGCAAACACTCCAGGCCTTTTCCTGCAAGGCTGGAAGGGGACATTTGAATCCTGAGCTGCAGTTCAGCCTATTTCACAGTTCTATTTATTCTCCAAAACCCTGACATGCAACACCCTTTCCTGTTGGTCCAGTGCCCACTTTAGCAGGTGTTATCAACACAAAACAGAGGACAAGCCCACTGTACACTTGAGGCTTTGCTGAACAGGATAAGGTTGCATGTCATGTTTCAACATAACACACAGTTGCAGAATTAGAATATCCTGATGTGAAAGCCATGTGTTTTGTAGCCACCAAACATCCTTTGATAATCTCAAGTTCTATTAAATAAAAAAGGTTAAAGAAGTTACTCCTTCAGAAAGAGCAACATAAACACATCACAATATGAAGGTACAGAATAGGTAATTTTCTCATGCAAACTGCAGACTTGGGTCACAGTTCAAACTGTTTCTAAACAGCTATGGAACTACTAAAAAATCCAGCAGAGGTGTCTGGGGGACAGAGAGCAGAATGTTTAAAAGGAATGAGAAGAAACTGATAAGAAAACAGAGAACTGACTGTGCTGCTATTAAAGAAATTTACCCTATACAACACTCCTCCCCTCCAAAACTTAGTGAAGATCTGTTATCAGACTCGAATGGGGAAAAAAAAAAAGATAGACCAGCCCCTACATTTCTTCTAATATTCCAGAATACTACCAAGAAATGTTCTACATTTGTTGAATACACAGCAATTAATGAGGCTTTCCCAGCCTGAGTCCAGAAAAAAAAAGCTGCTTCTTTTTGGTTTTACTCATTTGCTTTCTTTTTATTTCCTCATGATTCAGCTCCTTTGTTTGCAAGCGCCTATCAGCCAGCTGCTGATCTCAAAGGGAACAGAAATACAGATGTTCTGTAAACCAGGGATGTTCTGCTTGTGCCACTGCTGACAAAGTGGCACCAGAGAGTGCAGCAGCGCTCAGGTCTCTCCACCAGCCTTGCAGTCCCAGCCCACACACTTTTAACCACTCCTCACCTCAAACCGTGGCAGGAATGTGATTTGGGTAGAGGCTCCTCCCAAGTCCAGAATCCCAACAGTTTGCTGGTTCTGGCCAGACAGCTGCCCTGCAAACAACACCGTGCTCAGAACAGCCCCAAGTGCACAAATGCTGAAATGCAGATACTGTGTGGATGCTCAGGCAGCCACCAGGTGATCACAGCAATACAAGGAGGGCTGAGCTGCCCTTCAAAGAAAAAACCTCAGAGAGAACAGGCAGGCAAACAGAAAGTATTACAGAATGAGACACAGACTTTCTTCCTTGATTCCAATCTCTCCTCCAAAGAGACAAAAGCAGATAAATCTCCAGGTATCAAGCAAAAGCTGAAAGTAAGAGACAAAGTATCTCCTGCAGAAGACCGTCAGGGAGAGTACACAAATTTTGTAACCACCATATAGCTGGGCAAAAGCAGTAGGTAAAGAAGGGCAGTAAGAGCCAAACCAGCTATTGTAATTTCTCTTCACCCAGAGCAGCTTTTTTGCTTGCTCATCTATCTACTAGAGTACTGATTTTCTTTTCACTAGATTGCACTCCCAGAAGCTCTCAGAGCCAGTAGTGCTAAGGCACCATGCCCTGCAGCACCACTGTAGCTGCACAGCTCACACTGGGATGAAGAACACTGCAAGGCCTTGTTTCCCACACATTAGCAGTGCCACTCCCCAAAGCACGTTAGGGAAACCAGCCTGCCAGTGCCTCAAGATCTGAGTAAATTCTGGCACCTTCAGGGTTAAGACGTCTCCTTCTTACTACAGACTCTGGAACACAGTCTGCCCAAGGCAGTCCACTGCTTCAGCACTGGTGAGAGAACAGGCAGGAAAAGCATGGCCAAGGCAGAGGAACTTAGGGTGACCATCTCCACAGAAGTTACTCAAGTTCAAGCTTAGAGTAGTTATACAGAAATAATTACCTGTCAAAAAGTTTACAGTGATCCAGGCTAAAATTCCTGCAATGAGTGAAAAAAAGAAAAAAAAGAAAAAACAGTCACCATTAAATACTCCCACAATCTCCTGCCCACTGTCACCAGCCCTCCACAGGTTATTTATATACCTGGAAGTCATTACTAGCTTAACACAACCACCCCAGACTTCAGGGATTAACTAAAACTCATAATTAAATTATATGATAAATTATTGATTCATACAAGTCTCACGAGCTGAAATAGGTAGGACTTTGTAACATCCATGCAACTGCAGCATACATAAATCATATATATTATCCAAACAACATATAAAGAAGTAATGAGCTGACACTGCACAAGTATCCTTGGGCCTCTTTTTGCAGTCCAGCATTTCAATTCCTAATCTGAAAACTGCATTCACACCACTGTGTTTTAATCTTAAGGTTTCTATAATTACACTACAGACAGAGCACAACCAGTAAAACACAAACAGCTCCTTTGATTCCAGTGGCTTGCTTGACACTTACATGATTCTCACCCAAACATTGACAATAGAAGAGGTAGGGATTTTAAATAAACTTGGCAGGCTACCCTGTGCTCTATTATGCCTCATTGGTCCTGCCCCTGTCAATGCAACAGTTCTCCCTACTGTACAATTCACCCATTAATCCATAGTGACAAACTATGCACTACACCATACTTATCAAATACTTCAATACTGTATGATACTTCTCCTTTTCTCTCGGCCCATGTGGGCAGATTTTGCTCTTTAATCTTCCTCCATTTACTAGTTGTGTAAGCACTGTGATAATTCTTGCTTTCCTTCAACACCTTCCAAAGTGGCAATTTATCTGCCATAAGGACGAGTTCTGAGCTGGACATAACATGATAGGATGGCTCTTTTCATCAGGCATCCATACAGGTGATTATTACTTGCCCATTCTCCAAGGTAGTATGTCTGGATATGTAGCCAGAATGTTACACTGTTTTTTTCTGCACTGCAAAATCATTGCTCACTCCAAACCTACAACATATTTCATCTTTTCTTGTATTTTACAGTACTTGCTTGCTACTTTACTAGCAGTATTTTTCCCAACAGAATATTTTTTAACTTACTATTTTATTATTAAGTCATCTGTTTTTAATACTTGTCAATTATCCTTCATTCTCCTTTAATATTCACAATCCTCCCAATTTTAGATTGAAATTGATGAGCTGATCATCATAGGTTATTTTTAATGCTAATATTGCAGAATTTACAAGGCATTTTCCATAAGCTTCCCAGCTTGCTATATATTGTCATGTAGCCTTTCAGAGGTGGACACCACCTCTTTTGCACCAGTTCCCAGGAGCAGGCTTCAGCTGGTCAGCCTGCATCAGGCAATGCTTATTGTTGAGACAGTTTTTGTTCTGAAACTCGTGAAATCTCTTTGTATAGCTGCATTTGTAGCCTAACAGGTGACCAAGCAATTAACACCACCTCAGAAAGGCAGAATTGCATTGTTTCAAACAGGGCCAGAAATGTTTTATTTTTTTCTGCTTGGTTTAGGGACCATTTTTCTTTCCCTCTCATGTTCCTAAGATATCTCTCTTTTTCCCATTTCTCTTTGCTTTTACTTTTTACCCCTCCTAAAACATACCTTCATGAGATCCATCCATGATGCCAACACTGTCCTCTGGAACCAGGAATGGTGATTCCTCAAAGACTTCTTTCACCTGAGGAAAGAAATAGTGATTAGATTTCTTGGTCTTCAGAGACATGCTCTGCTCTGAGGTTGACAAAATTTTGTTTTATGCAGCAGCAGAAACTAAGACAAGTGTGTGGAGTAGGGGCTAGGAAAGAAAGAAAAGAACTATTGTAGGTCTCTCTCCATGCCTTCCACCACAGCAAGACACAGGATTTCAGGACCAGACAAGATACTCTGTGAGTTTTATGCTATCGTGGGATTACAGTCTCTTTTCAGAGATTAAATTCTCTTATGCTAAACAGAATAGAGAGCTGAATTTAAAAAAAAAGAAGAGAGAGAACAATACTAGTGCATCCAAAGCTACTCAGTGCTACCTCTGAAAGCAGAGCTTGGGCTTTCTCCTCTGACAGCAGGCGAAGTCCAGCCGTGGCTTTTAACACCACTGGGGTCTTTTTCCAGAGATGAGGTGGCACAGCATCAACAGCCATGTCCAGTAATGTTTTGACAGTTTCAGCACCCTAAAAGGAAAAATATGCTTTTTATATGGTTTCCTTCTACAGGCCATCAGAGAATAGGCCTCTCAGTTTCCCCTCAAAACTTGTGAGAACAGTATTCAAGAGCAGAAGATACCCACACCCAAGACAAGTACAAAAACCATGCCAGATATCTCATTAGAACATTAAACAGAACGTCTGCATTGGAAGGAAAGGTGTATTCACAAATATATTTTAGGGAAGATAAATATCATTGTTTGTGGAAGGTATTTTTTTGAAAGGATGGAGGGAGGTGAGGGAACTGATTACCTGACAAATCTAAACATCTTGCAGTATGATGAAACTTAAATGGTGCAATTACTGACTGAGGCTACCAAAGCAAGGGGAAACATCTGTAGATTTCACTAAATGCAACATAAGAATTCCAAGTGTGTCCATAGCAAATATTGTAATTAAAATGCCAGCTGTGCAATGGTTACCACACAAGGTACAGACATCACTGCTGGCTCTCAATTATTTCCACTGCTCTAACAATCACAGTTTAGCATTAGCAATAAAAATTCTCCTGTGAAATGCCTAGAAATTTATTTTGGGCTGAGTTCTCCTCTCCTACCCAAAAAACAAGTTTTACTGGAATCATAGGTGATCTTATAAAAGTTTTTAAAAAATCCCAAATCCATTCACTCTTCCATGAAGTGTCACACTCAAATTCCTGTAGCATGGAATCCAACTGAGCAAAATGAGAAACCTGAAATCCCCATAATGCTAGCCCCCAACTTCAAGGCTGCTGAAGCACACAAAATACTGTATCTAATAATTTCTCTGGCACCTCCTTTAGTTTGTGAAAGAGCTTCCTGTCAGCACAGGGGGTCTGGAAAATGGCAGCTTACTTCAGAGCTAAGAAAATTATTTCTAAATGAGATAGAGTATGCATTTACTCATATTTGGGGTAGCTGTAGAGGAAATAAACACTGAATTTGGATGCTGCTAGAGACAAAAATCACTTTGTTTTTGAAATTCTCAAAGGCATATAGTCTAGTTATATAAACATTTAAGCAACTAATTAATCCACTGTTCCACTGATGAAATATGTAAAACATTAGCTCCTATTTCACCATGTTGAACTTAACTTACAAAAGTAGAGGAACAGGTTTAGAGAGACAGCAGCAGAACTTTCACATTTCTTCTTGACTTTTTGCAATTGCAATCAGTTAATACTTGAACTTGGTAGAATCTAATGATTATAACAGAAGCACGACCAACTCCCAGGGAATGCAGGCCAGTCCTACCTTTTCAGGCTGATCAGCATATGCAGACAGACCTGGCTTCACAGACTCAAAGATTTCCCCTTCCACCTCTGGAAGGTTTTCTGCACAAACAAAACATTACATGATACAGTCAACAACTCAAATCTTATTCTTTAATTTCCAAAGTGAAAGTGACTATCCTTGATTCTCCTTGCAAACAAGATTATTCCTCTCCTGAAACAAGCCTTGTTCCTTCACTTCAGGAATATATTTAGCAGAAGCTTGCCCTTGTACCCTCCAAGTTCACAAACAATTTATTAATAACATGTTGTTATAATTAAAAGTATGTTCATTTAGCATTTGTGAACTACAGTAAGTTACAACTATGCAGCATAATTGTCACCTATTCTTAATAAATTTCTTTCCCTTTCTGTCCTTACACAAATTGTGAAATACTAGTGCATATTAAGACACACACCATCAATTCCCAATTATCCTTAGGTGATTCACCCAGCTGAGATAGAACAGAGCTGACTGTGCTCAAGTACTTGGCTGAAAAGCCAAACAAGTTTGACCACTGCTCCCAGAGCAGTTTGGGTGTAGAAGCTGTCCCTGAGTATTGCACACTGCAATCCAGGATGAGTCCAACAGAACTGGACCTTGTACCAGTCCTTCCAAACCATGGATGAAGTCATGCAAAGACACATAAGCACTATGTCCCAGCAAGCAACCCTCAAGCTTTGCAAACCTGCTGGCTCACTGTACCCAAGCTACTTCATCCTCCTGAATCCATCCTGTCACACGTGCAGCCAAAATTGGGCACCTCTGCACCATGTGAGCACCAGACACACTGGAGTGTGGTGCATCTCAACACACTTCTCCTGGAAATGGCTCAGACCTTCAGTACTTAATAGCTCTTTAATTTACTGATTTTAATCTGCTACAAAATGTGACATAAACATATGCAGAATTCAAGTATCTCGTGATAAAATTTAAGGTAACATGCAACCTGACAAAACCAACCTAAGTATCTTTTCATCTCAATGAGGTATTCCTTTTAAGCAGCTGCATAGATGAAAATGTTTGAAAATTTAGAATTCTCCAGTATACCCAGAATTGTATCTCTGAGACTTAAAAGACCTACAAAAAAGGTATTTACACAGCAAAACACCATGACAAATGGACAACAAACACCTGCAGGAGGACCATTTGAAGGACAAACTGTAGAAATCTTCAGCTGCTCCCAAATGCTGAGCTGGCAAAAAACAAAACTGTTTGGCGAAGTTGGAACCTAAGTCAACACACATGGGGGTCTTACCTGGGCTCTTCTGCACAAAGGTGTAAATATGAATACGGGTTCCAGTGCTTCCTGCGTCAAACATGATGCCATAAAAAGTGTTTTCTTTGGCATTTAGAGGGCACACATTAGGTGGAAAGAACTCCTGAAACCACATTTCCCTGTTTGAATGTGAGAGAACAAAGGGCAAAGAGGAAAATGCCAATGCTATAAGGATGGGAAGTCTGGAAGATGCCATCTTGCCAGGACCCCTTGAGGCTGTCAAGCATGTATCAGCAATCACAGGGCTGCAGAAGGTCCTGAAGAAAAAAAGAAAAGAAAGAAGGAATGGAAATTACCAAGACTTCTCTCCTTTAAAGCTCTGTTAAAAAAGAAAATAAATAAATAATTCTGTACACATACATTCTCCCTTTAGGTGCTTTCCAACACCTCATCTAAAAAGAGCTTATTGCACTTAGTGCTACAATTACATCTAACTAATTTGTTCTTTCAGGGTAAAGATCTCTCCAGTTCCCAAGCGCAGAAGAGAAGGAGTAATTTGCTTTCAAGTTTGCTTTCTAGTTTTCACTTTTAGACAGTTTCTTTCTCTTATTTGTCTTGCAGATTTTAAATATTCAGAGTCTCCAGTACCTCCTCCCAAAAGCCCAGATATTATCTGAAAAACAGCAGTGCCAGAGGGGAACTCTGGGCAGAATCACTTTAACATTTGCACACTTGAGATGCTGTGGCAGAACACAAGCATTATTCAGAGTCACAAACAAAGAGAATTTCATCTCAGGCTAAGAACAGCTGCTGGGAGAGATTAGCACACAGAGAGAATGAAGGCATATCCTTCCAGCAGCATCCCCATCTCTGAGAAATGCCTGAGCTGCACCAGAGGGGCTGAACTGAAGTGCACCTGAGCACTGTCTCGCCATATTTTTTCATATTTTTCTTTTCTGTCTTTTTGGGTTGGTTGTTATTTTTAGAATTATAAACAACAACAACAAAAATCAATCATAGCAAAACCCACACACTCTCACAAACCTAAAGCAGTTGCTCCAAACACTCAGGTTGCTTACAGAGCTTTTAACAACAGTGTCCCAAAGCTGTGTTACACAGTATTGGATATCAAGATACAACTACATCCTCCCTTAAGACCTATCCCATTGCATGTATTTTTCCTAAGATATGCTAATAAAAGACAGGGGCCCAGAAATCAGGGGGTGCCCAGGTAAAAAGAAGGACAAAATCTGGGCATCTTTAGGAGCAGAAAAGAGCATGTGGCCAGATGTCCCACCATATGCAGTATCGCCTGCACCAACCCACACACTGAGCACTCGGCACACAGAAGGTGCAAACAGCTCCTTATCACTTCCCAAACACTTGGTAACACATGCATCCACCCACAGCACTGCAGATTTTACTTTTTATGGCTGTTCATCAGCTGTGCCCAAGACCTCTGCCCACTGCTTGCTCTTACATTTGACTGTCTTTTAGCAATCTGCTCAGCCCCACCATGTTCATTCTCTTGAAATCTTCTCTTGCTGTCTCTATCCTACACGTATTCATTCCTAAACCCTCTCCTTTCCTTTCTATGTGTGTTTACTATAGCCTCTATTTCCTCACACCTTTCTCCCACACCCAAAAAGCTCACTTATACTCCACTTCCTTTTATCCCAGATTCAGCCCTTGTAAGACTTTTATGATTTCCATTCTTCACCTTTGTCCCCAGTTACAGCAAAGGGAGATTAACTTTTACCCATTCCCAGCAAAAAACATCACATTCCTCAGGCACCTCTCTAACTCCGGCATTCTGCCATGTCTAGAGTCAAAAAGTGCACAGCCCACTGCAGATGGGTAACCTCACCTGTCTGCTGTGACCTTTATTTTTATCCTGCTGTTTCAAACAAATGCAGAAATGCAGGCAGAGACTCCTGATCCTCTCTGCCTTAGAAGCACACTCTGAAAAGAAGTGACCACAATTCCACCAGCAGACAACAGCCCTGGCTGTGTCTGTGACAAATCAACTCCAACTGCAGTAATTTCTAAAGTATACACATTTTATGTGGAAAGGAGTAAATAGGTAGTTCTGTAACAAAGTGCTCTCCTGGAGAGGCTTGATGAGAAGTGCCAAGCAGTTTGGCACTTTTGTGGCTATGGATTTGTACTAAGACGCAGCTGGCATCACCCAGGTTTGCTTCATCACAGCAAGGAGGGCCTCTGAAAATCCAAGCAGCTGCGCTGTTTTAACAGAACATAAGGTGCCTTAGTGAGAGCCACCTTCCAGCAGGTTCAAAGAGATGTTATTCTATGTAATGTAAGGATTTTGTTTAATGAACTATCACAAATGCAACCCAAGCACCTGTCTTAAGAACAAACTCCAGAGTCCTATTACAAACAGCTCATGTGACAGTTATGTAGGCCTCAGAATCTCTGATGATCCGAAAATATCTGAGCAACTGCCATCATTAACTCATACTTTCCTTACCAGACCTACGAGAACCTTATTTCACATGAAATTCCCTCACAAAGTTTCCCTTCTCTATCCCTTCTCAGATATACACCACTTTCTGTTTTCTACATTTCCCCTGACTTTTTTTCTTTCTCCTTTTATACCTCTAAGGACAAATAAAATCCCAACTAAACAACAAACTTACAACCAATCACCATGGGATTTTATTTTTCCTCTCCCTCATTAAGAATGAAAAACACACACTGAGCCCCTTCAATGACTGGTGAAGTCCATTTAATCAAGCACACCAGCAAAACAATGTCCACAAGAAGAATGACAACAGATAAGAGTAAGAAATCAGAGCAAGAGAGAGAAGTCAGCAGAGCATAACAAAAATGGAAATGGAAAAAATGTGGAAAGACAGAATCAAAAGTATGGAAGAAAAAATTCAGGGTAGAAATAGACAAGGCATAAGTTACTGAGAAGGAAAAATATTTTCAAAACAGTTCCTCTCAAACAACTTAAAAGTCCTAGCTGGTATCAGAACTCAAGGGGGTGGAGAAAATGAAGAATAAACAGAAAGGAGAAAACAGGGTAATTGTTGTGTGAGCACAAGCCTATTAATGCAATCCCACAGTTCAGCGAGGTAAAGCCTACGGCTCCCTATCAATAGGCTCAGTTACTGTCCTTCAGAAGGAGCAGCAATAATCAGCACTGACCATGAACATGTTAGGCACACACCTGAAGCAGGATGGAAGCAGCAACAGCTATTCCCCTCCAGGGACTCGGAATGAAAACCAGCTCCAGAGCACCATGGCAAGAGACACCTGCCTGCACTCGGTCACCGCGGCTGCCAGCTAACAGCAGTGGACTATGTATCAGGCAAATTATGAGGTCATGAAGGCACATCACATACCAGTCGAGTTGTTTTATTCCAATTTGAGTTTATCATTACTCAATGCAAGCAGTGAAACATGATTATATAACTACACAGGATGAATTTCAAGAAGTTGAAAGTTAACTTGAGATCGAGTTAGTAAAACATTTACACAAACGCTGCAGTTGACCTCAACACTACTGAGGCCTGAGCCAGCAAAACAACACAGAACACTCATTTCTCAGTGCAAAGAGACACATGTCAATGTCATCTGTACACAGCAGATTTTAGGTACCAAATGAAAAACATCCAATATAAAAAATTCGGGAGGTATGCAAACTGAATGATCCAGAAATACTGGGATGTTGCATAGAGACTTCCAAGACTGAAAGCATGAAAAAGAAGGAAAAAACCCCTACAACCAAAGTCTCCCTAAACAACAAAAGTAAAAACTATACCATAATAATAACTAACCTTAAGACAGCAAAACACAACCTTACTTAGAGCCCACCATACACAGAAACACTGGTAATTTTCAAGACAAGAAATATTCTGTACTTGACTATTTCTGACAAAATAGCACACAAAACACAAACCACACAACAGAAGCATCTCCCTGTAAAAACAAATGTGATCTGAGGGGAGGGAGAAGCAGTGTACCAGAGATACACATGAATTTCACTTCTGTTTCCTAAGACAATATTGGGAAATATTTGGAGGTACACAAAAATATTCAAAAATAATTATAAATATTAATTATATAAACACAGGCAAATATTTTACAAAAATAACTATTTTAGGAAACAAATAAAATTACATAATTCAATTAATATTCTTCCATGCTGAAGCACACCAGAAATCGTTCAGAATGGAAACTCTTTTGTGCTAAAACAGTAACAAAATCTATTTTCCAGATGAGCAGCTCTTATGGTCACAAAATCTATTTCCCAGATGAGAGCTTTAACACTTAACACTCATGACTAAATAAATACTTTTTAACCTTTTTTTTCCCTACAAGAAAAAAGGTTATTACATTTTTTCTGGAGTTACTTTTATCTATTGAAAAAAAAATAGCTTTATAGATTGTTTTGACAAAAACTTAAGCTTCTTAAAAGCACACTGTTTAGAAGACTCAATAGAAGGAATAACTGAATTCAAAGGCAGAATTTCTCAGTATTTCCATTAAAATAATGGCACATGTGCACATATGTTTTCAGTAAAATGCTGGCTCTAGAGCGTTAAACTCCAGGGGAAAAAAGTAGAACCAACTCACAAACATGCGTTATCAGAAGTTTTAATCTTTCTTCCCCCATACTGAGGCTCCAAATACACATTATTTATTTATTCACATTTCTGGCCAAGTGGGGTTTCAATTTTCCTCTTTAATTAGCCCAAGGCTAATTTCCAGGGAACCGCTACCCGGCGGGGCGGGCACCCGCGCAGAGCGGCGAACGCGCTCACCTGCGGGGCTCTAACGGCGCCCCGTCCTTTCCCTGGCAGAGCCGCTATTCCTGGGAAACAGACCTTGGCTGCCGGCAGCCTCGGGGCGCCCAGGGCTCTGCCTGCGTGCCGGGCTGGCAGCGCTGGCTCCCGGGAATGCCGCTCCCGGGAATGCGCCGGACACGGCGCCTCAGGCCCCGCCGGACCCCGCCGCCCCGGGGCCGTGGGCTCCGTCCCTGCCGCGCACCCCGGCGCCAGCGCGTCCTGCCTCGCTCCATTTCCCTCAGCCGCCACCCAAACCCCCGCGCTGGGCACGCCCGAAACCCTTCCCTACCTTCCTTCCCTCTGCCCTGGCAAAAGCCCCCGCGGCCCGCCCCGTGCCCCGGCGGGGAGCGCGGCCCGGGACGCGCAGCTCTTCCCGGAGCCGGCGGCGGTGGCGCTGGGCAGGAACACCCGCAGGACCGCCCGTCCCCGCCTCACCGGCGGCCAGCGCTATCACTCGGCCGGGACGGGGCGTCCTCCCGCCCTCCCCTGGGGATAACGGGGACGCCGGCGCAGCTTTCGCGTCTCCCGCTGCCTGCCCGGCCTCGCACCCAGCGGAGCGCCCTCCCGGGACGCCGGGACCGAGCACGGCTCGGGGACGTTCAGCCAGCCCGGGAGCGGCGCTCCCGATCCCGGCGCCGTTGGCACCGGGGGGATGGGGGGCAGGGAACGGGACGGCGGGCGCGCGGTGTCCATGGCAGCGCGCGGACGCTGCCGCGCCCCTCCCCCCGCCCCCGCCGGCTGCGCGCGCTCACCGGCCGCTCGCGCCGCCGCATCCCGCCGGCCCCGCGCGCCGCGTCACCGCCCGCCCACGTGACCCGCCGCCCGTCGCGGGAGTTGCGCGTGGCGGGCGCGCGCTGCCCGGGCTCCGCGGGAACGGGAGTCAGTCCCTCCCGCCGGGCCCCGACACCGCTCCCGGCCCGCAGCCACCGGCGGCCAGCTCCCGACGGCCGGCACGGCACGGCACCGCACGGCCTGAGCTCCCCGCGGGCAGCGCCCGTCCCGCCGGGGCCGTGCTGTGGGGCGGCAGCGCCCCCCGCGGGCGGGAAGGCGCCAGGCGGGTCGGGACGAGCCCCGTGCCGCCCCTGCTCCCGCTCCGCTCCTTCCCGAGGGAGCGCTGAACGGCGGAGCGAGCCCGGCGGGGCGGCACGGCACGGCACGGCACGGCACGGCACGGCACGGCACGGCACGGCACGGCACGGCACGGCACGGCACGGCACGGCACGGCGATCGGGGCCTTCAGCACGCCATGGCCAGGGAGAGGCTGGAGCGCTCGTTCAGCTCGGAAAAAGAGAAAGCTGAGAGGGAACGTGCTGGATTTGGCTCCTTGGAGGAGGCTTTAGAGAAAACGGAGCCAAACTCTGCTCAGAACACAATGAAAAAGAAGCCCTGTGCTGTGGTTCCCATTTGCTCGAACATAGATTCTTTCATTTTACCCTTATTCCTACTTTTCTAAATCCAAGTACCAAGCAAATCCCTTTTACAGTTAGGAAAAAACCCCATGAAGATGGAAACGAAAGTTCAGTTATTTAAACATCTAATTTATTGAATAACAAGATGCAAAGGTCTAATCCCCAGACATTGATGAAGTGAGTTTGTAGGAAACTATTTTCTTGCTTGTGTGCCAGTGCTTGCATTCAGCCTATCTAGTATAAAAGATCTTACTTGGACCTTTCTCCAGAGGGCAAATTTTCTTTCTGTATCTGTCATTTTTTCTCCTTTTCTAAACTTCCTGAGCACTGCACCACCATCTGTAGCACAGACCAGACAGCTGCAGTATAAAGTGGAAACACTGGAAATGGCCTTACAGCACATGACCAGAAAATCTGTGAAGAGAGACTGATAAAACTCAGCATCCACCAAGCATGGTGGGGATCAAAAAACTGCAGCAACTAATAGAAATGAAGGATTGAGAGATGGATAGAGTGAAAAACATAGCACAGAATATCTTAAATGAGGGGATTGAGGTGGAAAGATTCTACATAGATGCTCTGTGATGTGAATCAGGAGATCATATCCAGTGGAAAGCATTAGAAGAAAAAGGCCCAAACTGCCTATAACAAAAAAATATGGAGGCATGTGCATCAAAGAAGCAATTTCCCCAAATCAAAACATTCAAAAGCAACAGAAATAGCACAAATAGCACAGAGACCTAGAGGAAGCACATAAATGCTGCTCGTATGCAAATGTTGAAAACTAGTGTCCATCTTCCTAGACAGATGCCTAAAAAGTCCTTTGCATGATAATATTTTTTGTATTTGGAATTTCTGTAGTGAGAATAACTGTATGAGTTCCAGTGTCCTATAAATTAGCAATGACTTTGTGGGAACCTAATTTCAACTAGGTTATCACTTTTTGGTCCTTATTGCTATGGATTAAACTAAAGGTAAACTCAAAAGAGTTATTTGCATATTCTGCCATGTCATGTGGAATTCGATAGAGAACTTCCAGTACAGATGTGCTTCTGTAGTTTAATTTTAATAATTATCATTGCTTCTTTTTTGTTTTATAGGCATTTCTTTTTCTGGCATTGCTCTTTTGCTTTTTACTCACTCCAGTGAGCTAACAGTGAAGCCTGAAAAAATTACAATTAAGGTGCTAACAGCTCTTTACTGTACCGCTGATCATTTTAACATAAACATACATTAGATGACAAATCCAGTCTGTTTTCCACTATTTTTCCATATCTCAGAAGCCTCTGCTTTGCATTGTGCTTTCAAGGCTGTTTTCCTCAAGCTTTCTAATAATTTAAAAATTAAGTAATTACGTGAAACAGACACTGACATACTGAAAATAGGATCCCATGCAGTGCAGTACTGATTGACAGGATTACATTTTATAGTGAATAAAACAAAATCTCAGATTTACAAGTGAATCTCAGAATTTCTGTTAGGATGCAGTTTAAATTAAATTAGAGCTACACATGCTGCAGGATGTAGCCAGGATTGCAGGTCTCCAGCCTCATGCTAGACATCTGTACCTACCAACTGCAGCAGTGTCTGAGCACTTGGATTTTAAGCCAAAAGAGTTAAGGTCCCCCATAGCAGAAGCTTTCATTCATCCTTGGTGAGAGATTAACATGATCCTAAACCTCAGAAAAATGTTTGTTTAGGATGGATTGGCTACTGAATAACTTGGTGATACACAGTCAGTTGGAATGCTTTGTTCAGGTTATCTCAAAAATGGTAGAGCAGAAACACTCCCTGAAAAACCAGGGTCAAATCTGTAATTGAGGTCCAAGGAGTCTTCTCCCCTGGAGAAGAAGGGAGAGACTGGAACTGAGAGAATTGTGTATCGACCCTTTTATGTATTGACCCTTTTATGTATTAACAGGAGAGATAAGGAAAGGACAATGTATTTGAAACTAGTTACTGTTAGTACAAGGCCTCCTCCTCCCTATTTATAACCACTAACAGAAGAGAAGTCATTGGTTTGTTTTATTTACTTTAGAGAGCCTTAGATTTAGATGTTGAAAACACAACACTGTGCTTACATTTATTTTTTAAAATTATGTGCTATGAAAAGCCGAATAAGAGCAATGCAGAGCTAGAATTTTAAACCTGCTTTACACATACAGAATCCATGGATGATATGCCTTTGAAGTTTTCTCCTAATATATTGATCTCTTCCATGTTTTTCAAGGGAATTTTTTTTTAAAAACTGGATATCAGTAAGCTGACATAAGAAAAAAAACCCCATGTTTTGTGATTGCTTTTTGTCCAAATGAATGAGACAAATCCATGGTAATATTTTGTTTCTTCAGTAGATGGATACTGAACTGAGCTGATCACAGGATTCTGGTAAATTCTAAATCTAACATAAGAATCTAGCTATGTGGCTTGGTGTGAGGTACTTTAACTTTTTCAAAAAGTTGGTACACTATATACTGATTTTGTACATGCACTAGACTATACTGTTAGATCTTTGTGTATTGTATCAAAGAACAAGTGGAAATAAATTTTGATACTGCTAAGGTCAAGAATAGAAGTCAGAATTAACTTTGCTCAGTGCAGTGGGATTTATTTTGTTCAGTCATTAATGGAGCCCTATCCATCTTTACCAAACAATTAAATAATGTCTATTGTGACAGTAGATCTCCCCAGGTATATTTCCTTATAAGAGTATTGTAAAGCAAACTTCCCAGTATTAAAAAGTACAAATATCTGCAGCCAGATTATGAAAAGTTTACTTACTCTATGGTTCATTGCTATCTGCATAAGAAGTGTGGGAGCAGGACTTTAGAGGTACTTAAAATATGGCTTACAATGAAAATTCCAAGTCCAAGAAGCATTAAGTATATTATAAGCTGTGAATTGGGATATAAGATTATAGTAAGGTATCTATATGCACATGAATGCTTGTGTGACAAAAGTGAGGATTATTTTATTAAGATTTGTTCTCGTGTTGATCTTTCAGCAGCAGGCATTTAGACACAGTTCTCTCACAGTTTTTCACATGGACAAAAATCTCATGACCTCCTAAAGCCCTCTCTTGTTGAAAAGCAGGTTTATGTCTTCTAGAGGATGCTCTTGTGAAAGTCCATGATCATACAAGGAGGTGCATTTTCAGCTATCACAGTGAGTTTTGACTAAAAAGGCAAAATCTCTGCAGCTGATGTTGCATTCAGTATAGGATCACAGAGGGTAGACCATGATGAAGATTCATGTGCCTGATTTTCAGATACCAACTCAGATACAACTTTATTGCTAATTATAACACTCCAAGGCAAGCAGTGTCAGCTTACCCTGGAGGAATAGGTAGGGCGGGGTTCTGGCATGCACAGCTTGTCAGATGTGAGGCAGCCAAGCACACGAGCCAAAATGCAAAACTCAGACATCAAATTACCAGATAAAGTTCATCAGCAGGAGCCCTGCAGGCATTTATACATAAAGATATAGAAAGATGTGAGACACTTCCTTTGGAAAGGCAGGCTCCCAGTTTCCAAAATGGACATGGAAGTGGATTGGAGCCTTTTTCTTGACATAGACAGGAAAAAAATCCCTCGGAGTGGAAGTCACAGGGCCCAATTCTCAGAAGTGGTTAAGCCATTTTAAAACAATTTTTTGATTTTAAAACAATTTTTGGACTGAAGCATATTAGATAGCTTTCAGAATCTATATTTTAGTGCTTTCTGAGCAAAAATTCTTTTTAATAGTCTTCAAAGAGTTGACTATGAAACTGTATTTTAATAGTCTAAAGAAATTTATTATTAGATACTTTAGACTATACTTTTGTA